ATTCAAATTTTAGGTTTCTATGTACCATTTACCTTTCTCCCGGACTTTGCCGGCGGCATGGGAATGCGCCACAAGAGGGTGCCATTTTGATTTCTATAATTGGAATCACGAACACAGTAGGCCGGGCAACAGCGGGTTGGTTGATAGACAGACCTTGGCTGAAACCTATTAAATTCAACATGGGATGGCTAATACGCGGGGGTGTTGCTACAATTTTTGTTTCAAGATATACAACGTTTATACCGCTGTCAATGTATTGCGGTCTGTTTGGACTTACCATAGGTAAGTACGATATAGTGACATATTTTATCATTCAAGCATCGGCGTTGATTTAAGGAATGACCCACCTAATTCATTACCTCCTCGGGGACAATAAACGGAGTTATCTGTTGGGCTTCAAAAAAGTGGTTGTTGAGAATAAAATCTTCTTCTTCAGAACATTTTAGTGTAGCTATAGGCTATGTAAAATCTTACGATTTCTTGTTCCATGTATCTGCCTCATTAGTGACCGAAACTAATTTCGTTGCATTTTTTTATTAGACTACCAAATATCAAATATCATAAGCGTATGTTTTGATATTGAATATCATTTTCAATATACATGTACATCTAATAGCATCGCGGATATTATATTATTAATCTGAAATGGTAAACTTTAGCTAAAAAATTCACACTTTTTGTGGTAAATTGTTTTGTGTTTTTGGTATTGTGGAGTGGAAAAAAATACCGTTATACTTGTATTTGGTTATAAATATTTTCAAAAATAATGACGTCTGATTTCAGCTGTTTTTATAACTTGCCAACCAATCATATCTTTGAAATTAGCAGACGACGGGCAGATGGCCTCGTTTTATGGAATGGTTTGTTTTTTACAAGGCGTTGCATCTCTGAGCTCCACTGGCAGGTATTACGTACACTCCATTAATTTATTTATTAATTCATTTATTTATTCATTTATTCATTCATTCATTCATTCATTCATTCATTCATTTATTTATTCATTTAAATTTATCTATTTATTTATTTATTTATTTATTCATTTATTTATGTTTGTCTTATAACATTATGTGTTGCTTTTGTTGTTTTTGTTTTTTTTTTTTTTTTTTTAGTTTTTTTTATTGGGGGGGGGTGTTGTTGTTTTTTTTCTGTTTTTTTTTTCAATACAAGTGAAGTTTTCCAAAAGGAAGAACAATCTTGAAACCAGACTGAAAATGCCAAAATACGGAGTAGTAAAGATAAATAGATAAATATATGAAATAGAAACATAGTATTCTCTTTATTTATGGTTTTATCACATGTGATCAAATCTGTGATTGTGACTTAATTCTATATAATTTACCATTTTCATGATAATTGTACAGTACTGCTTAAGACGTTGCACGGGGTGTGGACGGTAGCTTGCATTCACAACCACGGTCCATGCACAGGCTTAATGAAACTTATCCTGCAATGGCCTTCAGAATGGCCGTGTTTGGGCGTTTGTAAAGGTTTCATTTTTATCCGAACATCGGTTGTTGTTCCTCATGATTTTTTGTGTTTTATATGTTTCAGTCAAAATGTTTAAAATGGGAGATCCTCAGATCCTTCGTAAGAATAACAACAAACAAAAACAACACCCAGTTAAATAATCGTAGACTTGGTTTTATTTGGCCAGTCTATGTCATATTATGTATGATGCAACATTTTTCACGACCACCCCCACTCCCAAGCACCGGCTTAAGCGAGTCATATTAAATGTGTTCTATTACCTCGTAGGTATGTTGGCTGATACGACAGGCAACTACGCTGGAGCATTTTATATGGCCGGGGCAACGGTTTTTACAGCGGGAGCCATTTGTCTCCCTTTATTATCAAAGTGTCTAAATTGTGATACACAGACTCAAAGAACAACCGATGAAGAATGTGTTGTAAACAGCTATAATGTCGGGGATTCAACACATTTATAGAGAAACTTAGATTCTGGAAAACGAAATAACTTAGATTCTGGAAAACGGAGTAATAACTCAATAACTTTGATTCAGTAAACCAGAACTTAGATTCTGGAAAACTGAGTAACTGAGGTTCTGTGGAATATTTTGCAATACTGGGTAACTTAGATTCTATGGATTATTCTGGAAAGCTGAGTAACTTAGATTCTGGAAAACTGAATAACTTAGATTCAGTAAACCAGAGTAACTTAGATTCTGCAAAACTGAATAACTTAGATTCTGCGGATTATTCTTAAAAACTCGATAACTTAGATTCTATGGAGAAATTAAGTAACTTAGATTCTAGGGAAAGAAAACTGAGGGACCTAGATTCTAGGGGAAACCGAGGAACTTAGATAGTAGGGTAAACTCCGTAACATAGATACTATAAACAGAGTTATAAGATTCTTGAAAACTGCTCTTGTCGTTTCAAGATAACGCTAGATAAAATGATGTCGCAATAAAGCTATTTAAACCGTCGGCTATTGCTGTCATTATTTTTTTACAATAACTAATTACTAGATAGTAGATTTTCTTTACATATCAAAATAACAAATCATAGCGTCGATTAAATGCATTGAAATTTGAATATGTACGTAAATTGTATATGCATCGCACACACTTCGCCAATATAAGCAACTCGATGGCAACTTTGATAACATCTTGGAAGATTGGACCAAGTATAGATAGACAGTCAGTCCTGTACTCTAAAAAATTATCATCAATTTAGAAAACAAAATTAAAGGACCATGGTAAAGTATATTATCATTTCTGTTATCAAAAAGTAATTCATAAGAAGCTTGATTATCGATACTTTTGTAAGGCGCTGGAACTTAAGAAACAAACTTGAATTATATATCTTTATCAGTTAATAGGAGGGTCATATTTATGATTTGCACGAGAAAGTACATGTATAACATACCGTTGAAATGATTACCGATTTTTCTCACCACCAGTCTATTTCCGCACGACTTTCACGTGCAATGAACTTTAAGCAGGTCATTTAAATACATGTGGTTTTGTATTCTGGTTGTAAACATGGCTGAGATGCATTGTGATTTGAGACAGGAGCAAAGGAGCCTACTGCAAAATTAGGTTAATTGGGTAAATCGCGTAAAAAATGGATTTAGTTTATTGAGAAAATGCACCATGTCAGGTGGGGGTGTCAATGTTTCACGTAGAAAGAACTAATCTGCTAATGTTATGAAACCGCCCAGAGCGGCCAATTTCCGCTTCCTGAAGACATCAGCACTGTCATAGCCATAGTTTACGAAGATGCAAGTTATACCTTGGAGGAGGTAAGCGCCATTTCCACGGTTGAGGAACTGGTACACGAAGGCTGGAATTCTTGTGATAACTGTCTCGAAGTTCGTCAACAAACTTTTTGTATATACTACAAAAACAACTAGTCAAAAATGGTAATTTTCATTAAAATATAATTTCTTTCGTTTGAGCAGACGAATTAGAAAGAAATTATTTTCCCTTCAATCGTGTAAAGTCTCCGATAGGGGTCGCGATTAGCGCACGAAGTTTTCGTGCGTAACGGTAGTCAAGTTACGTGTCAGTTCAGCTTTGGGTTACTGACCATTCTACACGTCGATTATTTTTGCATGATGGAAAATGACAACGTGGCAAAGGGCGGCATAAATGGCGGCTTGTCTTCACCGGGCGAAACTTCACGGGTTGAAAACCAACTTCAACGAGTTCTTGACGAATTACAAACTCAGCGGGAAGAAGTTCAATCATTGAAACAAGAACTTCAGGGCAACAGCTTCAACGTGGCTTCAGAAGTCAAGAAGTTGAGATCAGAACAAGAACTCGTCTGGAAATTCCAGGGTGACAAGATTCAATTTATTCTCAATTCAGAGCTCGAAGAATTAGCCAAACAGGCTGTTTGGGCTCTTGAACATTGTAAATTCCTTTATTCGAAGGAGTTGTTATCAGATCTCACTGAGAAACTGAGAAAGCGCAACAAGTTGATCAGAATCGCCGACGGAAGTCCCGGGGGGCTGGGACACGGTCAGATCATACGAGGCAAATTCAATCGCAAGCGACTCAGAAGATGATGCGAAAATCAACAAGGCAGAAAATCGTGCGCTTAAACGAAAAAGGTCGAGTTCCAGGGGCGGCAAGGGCGGCAAGTCTTACGATAATAGTCCTGACACATCTGGCTACTATCACAGCAAAACATGGGGAGCACCTGCACCTTCATTTCAATCAGGGCAGCAACATACGTTTCCGAGAATGCAGTCCTTTCGTGGATTCTACGGGGCAGGAAAAGGCGGCGTTTCAGGCGCGAACTACGGTACAGCATCAGGGCCATGCTACGCATGTGGAAACCTCGGCCACTTCCGGTGGGACTGTCCAAATACAGGCGGTATAGCGACCCAAGTGTTTTCCGCAATTAAATATGAATTTATGAAATGATAATCGTGTTTGTTTGTTTCTTCTTAGTTAAGGAGACGATATAAGGTTTAAGAGAAAAGTCAGTTTTAGGTGCTAAATTAAACTAAAATGAGTTTCACTTGATTTTTCGAGATATTTACTGAAATAATAGCAAACAGTGCAGACCATGGTCCATCGTCGGATACCCACGATTGACAAACATGTTACATAACATGCATGTTAATGGTTCGGCCGTGGGTATCCGACGATGACCATGGTCAGACTTCTCACTGGCTGATATTGGTCGGCACTTGTCGCACGGATAGAATCATGTGTCGCAAGCAGGCTCTCGATTCATGTGTTTCTTTTAAATCACAGTTGGATATTCATCTAAAATAGACCATACGAATCATAAAACATTTGAGTTCTGATTTTTAAAAATATATCAACAATTCCATCAACATATGAACTTTTATATATGCCTTAACAAATTTTTCAACTCATATATGTTATAATTATGACATTATTAGTAAAAGCTGTGAAATACCTTATATTTAATTAATTTATACGATAGTTGTGAACATATCATGTCCGTCAGGCACAAAATTCATTACAATAGAAAAAAAAACTCATCGCTTAAAAAATCTTTTAACTTTTTAATTATTTTTTTTCCCTTTTTGTATGTATGGGTCATTTGTAGGTAACATATTTGGATTAACCGTCAAAGCACGCGGAACTCTTCTGTAATGGATTCTTTGACAGGTAAAATTTTATTTACTTTTTAAAAATGCACGCGAGTAAGAGGGTGTGTGGCTTTTTTTTACTAGATGGTTGGAGACAAAACTTATTTCTTTAGCCTAACCGCGATGGCTACCTAGAAACCAAGCCAAGCGACCTAGACAAATCTAGCCACATTGGTGATGAGCACAAATCCATTATCTTTGACATTTTTTTGTCAATATAACCATTGGCAAGGCTTCATCTATGTAAATATTAGTAAGCATGCTAGGAGGCTGGCTTTACAAAATTTTGTTTAAAGCGACTCCACTTAAGTATTTTTAGTCTTTTTGTATGTTGTTTTGGTATGTTCGTTTTTGTTGTTGTTGTTGTTGTTGTTTTAGGGGGTTGTTGTTTGGTTTTAGTTTGTTTCTTTTTTTTCTCTCTTTGTTGTTTTTGTTGTTGTTGTTATATCTATTTTCAATCTAATTCTGAATATATTTCTGTATTATCTTATTGCATATTCATCTATATATATGTAGAGAGATAGGAATATGATCTAAGCGTTTGACAATTCATTAAAAAAATAATCTTCACCTTTAGTCCAATTTAAATTTACCATTTAAACATTATCGAGTACATTTATGCAAACGAAAGAACATTTACGTAGCACCAATTCTAATATCATATACATATTGCGAAGCAAAATATATGTACAAAAATAATAAGCGCAAAGATGTCAATATTCATGTGGTTACACTTGGAGCAAATGACCTCTACTGTAACCTATCTGTACTAAAATGATAGAAATTTTCTTAAATAAAACCCAAGTATCTTAAAAGCTGGCATGCGTAAATAGTTCGTAATATATAATTTTGTGAATAATCCGTCTCTATCAAGCGCACTTTTTTTCGTAGCGGGAATCGAACATGTTAATCTGTAAATGTATAATCTGTAAATTGTCTCGCGGAACTCCCCAGCCATTTCTCATTTCTGTTCCATAAAGACTCTTATTAAAGTCTCAGAGGCACGAAAACAATTCGGTACATGTGTTTAAAGAAAACTATACATGTATAAAAGGTGAAAATATGTACTTGTACATGTATATATTATCAGTTATAAAGATTTTGACAGGTTATATGATCGTATATATAAACGGTTGTTTGCAAATATAGCCTGAGCCGCAAAAGAGAAAAAAGTGAGATTTCCTCATGCATTGACAGCAGCCGTATATATAAAACTAAATAAACAACATGATTATGCAATGAAAAGCGATGTTACAAACGTGCAGTATTGTAAAAGATTTAGTATTTGTTTCAGTCGCCTGTTTGGTGCTGGTTATTGGCCTTGCTCAGAGAGAAGCCGCTGTGATACCGGATACTCCAAAAGAGTCGAGGCAGCTTGTCTACGACCTCGTTGTTGAAGAATCTGATGTAAGTTCGATCCTTATATTTTTTTTAAATCTTGTGTAGTTTTATTTGGCTTAAAATTTATTATTTTTATTGGGCGCCATGTGACAGATGTATGATTACTTACAGCATGTCGTTTTGTTATCGCTAATCAATTCAATCTTCATCATGTCTTGTTCGAAGTCAATGATACCTTTCTTAGTCAAAGAGACTTTAACATTCCATGCTGTATGTTTGAATTTATGATATTAAAGATGACGCTGACTGATAATATATATCTTGATAGCCTTCTTTGAACTAGGAATGAAGTTTATTTAAAAGACAGACTCGAAAGTATCCATTGAAGATACAGATAACTTTCAAACAGTACTTTTTGGCAGTTTGTAATTCAGTTGCATAGATTATAAGTTTGAGATACCCAGCGTTGGAGATATCCATTGTTGGAGAAACCCAGCCTTGGAGATATCAATTGTTGGAGAAACCCAGCCTTGGAGATATCGAGCAAAGACTTAATGTGTTTGAGTAATTAAACTAAGTAATGCTAACTTGTGATAATACATTAAACTGTCTCGGGATTTCTTTTTTGATTTGTAGTATATGTCAGTTTGATACTGGCTTATTATTTGAATTCTTTTATTTGCTTTTTGACGTGCACTTAATGTGTATAACATGTCATGTAACTCAGCAGCTATTTACTTTATTTACTAACATTCATAAATATTTGTGGTATGTAAGTATATCCATCGGTCGAATATTTTTATACTTTATCCATTCTTATTTCAGAATAGAAAAGTTGTTTATTGCTGAAAGTAAATGAAAATAATATAAGATAATATCTCCGTAGATTAGAAGTACTAAACTTGCCCGAGGATAATGTATAAAGTATGAAAGTTCATAACCGATATAATTTATTTTCAAAAGCGTAAATAGCGTATAATTTACCAATATAAACTTGAGATATGCTACAGATTTTTTTCTATGTACATCGTTTACGATTTATTATTTTATTTCAGTTCACAACTGGCGTACAAAATTCTGCAAAGAAAGGTATAACAACTAAACAACTCATCCTCGAGTTATTATTAAACTAATTTTGGTTAAACAACAAGTATACAGCTTTTTCCAAGTACAGTCTACGATTAAGTTTGCTAAGAAGTGTATATATAATATTATATTGTATTAAAGCAAACATCAAAATCCGCTGATCAGTCAATTCAGCCTTGATAAATATATAGAGAATATTTGTTTGTTTTGCATGTAAGATCGAAATATATTTCACAGGGTGAATACCTTATGTTATAATTTCACGAGAGGCGTAGTCACGAGTGAAAATATTAGAGCTGGTGATCATAAGTGAAATATTATTTGATCTTACATACGAAACATGAATTATTTTTTTATTTATTGTATGCTTGTATGCTTTTGTATGGTTATTAAGCCATTTTTACTGATTTTGTAAATTTTAACGAATAACGTTACATGTATTTTAAATGATATGTGCAGATATTCATGTGCAGATATTCATGTGCAGATGTTCATGTGCAGATATTCATGTGAAGATATTCATGTGCAGATATTCATGTGCAGATATTCATGTGCAGATATTCATGTGCAAATATTCATGTGCAGATATTTATGTGCAGATATTCATGTGCAGATATTCACGTGCAGATATTCAAGTGGAGATATTCATGTGCAGATATTTATGTGCTCCTCATAATCCAGCTCTATTTGCTCAGAAAAAGTGTATTTCTGACGTAATGTTAAATTCTTTTCATCCGCATTCAGATTTAGTCCGGCTTCTGTGAAAATTATATATTTTACAATTTCAAAGTGAAATCACTGTCCACTTAAAACATGTAATAAATGGTAGTATTTTTTCAACAAATGTTTGTATCTTTTTATAAATATATGGTAGTTGTTTAAAGTATTATGTACATGTATAGATCGTTGTGGCGTTCATTATACACTTACTATCACTGGTGTATTTCAAATGTTAATAATTCTTTTTAATGTACGCATAAATTTACCCATTTCATCCGAAACTGTCTATTGTCATTAAGCCTTTATACTACAAGCACATAAAGAAAGAGCTGAGTTCCCTGACTCGCTTATATATCAAACAAAATCATATCAGCATTGTGATTAACATACTTAGGCTATATTCCTTAAAACAGTAAAACCCCTTTATGATTGTTAAAATTTTCCCATAGCTTTTATTTTATTGCTTTTTTAAAATTTAAGGTGAAATTAATCTCTTTTAATGCTTTATTTCAGAAAAATTCTTTCCCCAATTTTGGGTTTCTTTTAAATAATTCTAGCGATTACAAATATTCGGGGGTTACTTTTTGTATACAACATACTTACGCTATGGGTACGAGAAAAAGTTTTTCATACGAAAAACCCTCATACGACATGAAAGGGTTTATACCATGACAATTGCCTTAAACGACTAAGCCCCTTATTGCTTATAAAATTCCCCAGAAAACCAGCTTTTTTAGCTATTTCAAAGCGCTCAATATATTCATGGTTTCTTTTTGTACATAAGGTAATTACGACTCTTAATCGCTTATATATCAAAGACTAGCTTGCTTTTCAAAGCGCTCCACATATCATGGTCACTTGTCTGTGTAAGATGTAAGAAGCTCCTATTTTCGCTTATAAATCAATGAAAACCAACTCAGGTGTTTAGCTATTCATAGTGAATCCTAAATTCATGTTCAAGCCTTAACATTTTGCATATTTCCTAGGAGGCTCGTTGGCGAAGAGAGTAAAAGGTGGCGACAAAGCGGCAGACTGGTCCATTATTTCACGAATAGAGAAAGGAAAACAGCATGTGTGTGCTGGTGTAATTCTTGGCAAGAACTGGATATTAACAGAAAAGAATTGTATTGATCAAAAGTAAGACCATTAGAATCATTTGTATGGCCTTAAATATGTAGCATATGTGCCACAAATAATGCAAATGTCTAATTTGTTACGACAGTGTTAATGCGTAATGGTCCTCCAAAAAATTCCTGATCCTAAGAAAAGTAGCGAATGTTGCTTCTGGGACATCACATGTTGAATCTTGTATTATCTTCTACTTGTTTTTTTTTTTTTTTTTTTTTTGTTGTTGTTGTTGTTGTTTTTTTTTTTGTTGTTGTTTGTTTTGTTTGTTAGTTTTTTTGTTGTTTTTTTGTTTTTTTTTTTTCTCTCTCTTACAGAAATTTAGATGCATTTAAAGTCGTCATTAGGCCAGCTGACTACAAAACTACACTGAAAGAAATAAAATACAATATTGAAACAGTTGTGGTAAGAGTTTGCTATCATAAACCCTCTGTTTGCTACAAAAATAGATAAAACATGTAAAGGTCCATCTTATGCTTTCTCTGAAACGTCATTGCATAATTCATAAATACTGATACATGTAATAAATGGTATATAGAATTTAAACACGAACTCATCCGAAAGCAACTACATTCTTTGTTTTCAAAAATGAATTATTAAGGGCACTTTATGCTTCAGCAACGAATAAACTTTTATTTCTTTCAACAGGACAAAAATGAAATGATTTCATCTAAATAATGATTTTGGGGCATGTTTGATGTTTGTTACCTGAAGAAAGTAGCGCTACATGTGATATTATTTCATGTATTTGTCATTCAAGAAGCAAATGTAAATGTAGTTTTTTAACGTCCATACAAAATACCAAATCACTATAACAGTAGTATTTGTCAAAAAAGCGGAAGAAAAAAATATGGTTCGAGTATCTGGCCAATGAGTAACTTATTTGGAAAGTACAAAAGTACACAAAATCCTGCTCTAAGATAACTCGGTTACTTGGAGTTAATGAACCTAAATCTTTCTTTCCTCCTCTGAGATAACAAACCGGAGAAAGTTAACTTTGGCTGATAACAATGTTTATGCTGTGTGCATCAAAATCTATTTGTCATATGATTTGACTATAAATTGTATTATCGTCATTTTGGAGATTCTTTTATGGTGTTTGATTTTGGGTAAAAATTTTTGGTTCATAGCGAAAACCCAAAAATATAATCGTTATCCCCTTTTTTGTTTGTCGCAAAGGAAACGCGTCAAACGACGCTTTTGTCGCACGGTCATCTTTTGGGCTTGTCGCAGCAAAGACGCCAGAGGGGCTTTTTGGGCACTTTTGGTTTTTTTCCGCACAAACACCCAAAAACCCGCGGCGCACGCACGTCGCCGAACAAAGCACACCAAACGGGTTTTGGTCCCCGGCTTGTGCAAAAGGCACGCCAAAAGGGTTTGTCGCACTGTCATTTTGTCGCTTTGACTAGAAAAAGCCCCCAAAAGGGCGTGTTGTCGCATTGTCCTCTTGTCGCTAGCGAAACGCGTCAAACGTCTCGTTGCCGCACTGTCACCTTGTCTTGTCGATAGCAAAGCACGCCAAAAGGCTTGTTGTCGCACTGTCATCTTGTCGCCCTGTCGCTTGGCTTATATATATACAAATAGCCAATCCTTCTATTTGAGACGAAAATGTGACATCGAGACAACACATCACACGACAACGCGCCGTTTTGTGTGTTTTGTTAGCGGCAATACTACAGTGCGGCAACGCGCCGTTTTGTGTGTTTTGTTAGCGGCAAGACGACAGTGCGGCAACGCGCCGTTTTGTGTGTTTTGTTAGCGGCAAGACGACAGTGCGGCAACGCGCCGTTTTGGGGTTTGTTAGGGGAAAAGACGACAGTGCGGCAACGCCCTTTTTTGTGGTTTTTTTAGCGGAAACAAACAGTCGGAAACGCGCCGTTCGGCGTTTTGGGACGTTTTTTCCTAACAAACATACCATATTCATTTCTTACTTCATGAAATAACCCGGAAGTGGATGGGGAGTGTACTTCAAGTTTAAAGGGCGAAATACCCAGCCATTTAAAGTTGATTTGTACCTCACCTAGTACAAAAACAGAAAAGAAGACCATTTTTCCTTGTGGAATCAATAAAGATAAATTAAGGGGAAAAAATATCTTTTAAGTTTGACAAAATCGAACAATATAAAAAAGGGTTTTTAAAAATGTATGTACTGTTAAACCGAAAAGGGTGAACATAAAAAAAATTTTTTTTTAAGAAAATGTTAAAAGGCCCTACCATTTTATGAAAATTCCGGGGAAAAAAAAAAATGAATAAAACAACAAGTTTAACGGGAAAAATACCCCTAGACCCCCCAAGACAAAACCAACAAATTTTCGCCCAGCAAAATTCCGACCACCCTGCGCACCGCGCAGCAAAATTAGAACCTTTGCGCTAAAAATTTTCTACTGACCGGGGTTTGAAGGGGAACCCCAAAATGGTTTTTTGATTAGAGCGGGGAATGCGGGGCTGGCTGGACCACCCTGGTCCAAACCCATTTTTTGGTTTTAAACATGGCGGGGCCATTTTTTATGGCAGACCCCACTTCGAAATTAATTTTTTTTTTGAAATTTTTTCTTTACAATTTATTTTTGAAAAATTTGAGATAGATATTAAAGAAACATTGAAAAATTTTAAAAGACATCATTAAATTAATTTTTCCACCTTAAAGGGAAAATTTAATAAGAAAATTAAAAATACAAAATTTTTTTTTCTCAAAAAAGGGTTTTGTAATTGGGGCCCAACCTACGGGAAAATCCTTTTTTCCCCGGCAACGGTTTTTAGCTTTTTAAAATCAATAACCAAAAATTCCCGGTTAAGTAAACATGTCCTCAATGTCCCGAAACGGTCCGTCCCTCCTCCATCCTCAAAAATTTAAAAACCCCGTCCCAAAACCCCCTCGGCCCTATCAAAAAAGTAAAAACCCAGAACTTTAAACCGGGGAATTTTTGCAAATTTTCAGTTTTTTTCGCGCAAATTTATTTTTCAGCGCAAAAAACCAATATGAATATATTGAATTTTTGGGTTTTTTATCAGCATTTTGTAATTTTTTTAGTTTAAATTTTTTAAACTTTGCAAAAATGGTTTTCCAAACAAATACCTGGTAAAACAAACTTTTTACCGTTATAAGCCGCCGTGCACTCCCCGGCGACAAAAATGCTCCCGTTCGCTTTTTTCAAAACGTAATTTAATAGTGGCGGTATTCAGCACAGCTGTGAATAACAGCAAAAAGTCCTACCCAAGAATTTTTTCCAAAATTAAGGGAAAAAAAGAAATAAGCAAAAAAAAAATCAATCTTGTTTTACTGTCTTGTACATTTTCTTAGATCAATCGCTATTTACGAAGGTCCATAAAAGTCTTTCAAGAGCTTCAAGGGGGCAAGACCAAACCTGTTTCCTAGCATGAAAGGGCAAACTTGCTTTAAGAAGAAACAAAGTAAATAAAAAAAAAAATAAATTTTTTTAAGTTTTTGGGGTAAAACATCAGCGGAAATAAATAAATTTTTAAAATTTTAATTCAATAAATCAGAAATAAAACTAATTTCAAATTCTTTAACAATACCAAAAACAAAAGACTGTTGAAGTAAAAAGAATCTTTTTATGACGGCTGAACACCGGCAAGAAATTTTACGATTGCAAAAGGCGGGGTATTTTTTTGATTGTATATTTTTTGCAGGTTTTTAATATGAAAAAAACATTAGGTAGGGATTTGAGGGTCCTGCAGGGTAAATCGAGAATTTATCTTAATTTCTATTAGAATCGCTTTTTTTTTTGGGGAGAAATGGTGAAATTTTTGTACCCAAAATGTTTTTTTTCACTTTTATTTGAATTTGTATTCTTTAAACCCCAACCTTTTAAATAAAAACAAAACTTTTTTTTATCAATTTTTTTTTTTTTTGGTTTTTCGGTCCGTAAATTTAAAAGCGATTTATTTTTTAAAAATAACTAGCAAAATGACCACCAAAACAAGCATTTGGGGGCCCCAAAAATTGGGTTTTGCTGCCCCCAAGGGTAAAGGGTTCGCATTTAAGCAAATGTTAAATCCGTTTCAAAAATAAAAAAAGTCTTCATTTTTTTTTATCCAAATTTTTAAACCGCTTTTTTTTTAAAATTGGCACAAGATCCCCCTTTAGGGGAAAAATTCAAAGCGCAAAAATTGGGTTGCACCCAAAAGTGGGGTAAGGGTAAAGGCAAAAGTTATAAAGTCAATTTTTCCTTCCGCAATAATTTTAAACCCCAAAGGTTTTTTTAAAAAAAATTTTTACACAATTTCCCTTTAAAAAAATAAAAAGGACTTTTTTTTGGTTTTTTCCCCAAAGGGTAAATTACACCCAAAAGGCAAATGTAAAACAACTTTCGCCCCCTAAAATTTTTTTTAAATTCTTTTTTTTTTTTAAAATATTTTTGCCCCCCCATTGCCATCTTTAACCCAAAATGTCAGACGCAATTTTTTAATTCTCCCCCCAAGGTCAAGGTCACACTTTACAGGTCAACTGTTAGAAGTCCTACATTCTCGTTTGTCCATAACATTTAAAACCCGCTGCAATGTTTTTAAAATCAACTTGGCAAATAATGATCACTATTGCGTAGAGCACAATAATCAAGTCAAACCCTCAATGATCCAGGTCACATTCAAAGGTCAAATGTAAAAAAAAATCTATCATGTCATGTCAAGCTCTATAACTTTTTAAAATGACAATTTATCTTCATTAATTATCATTATTAAATGTTATCATCATTATTTTATAATATTATTATTATTATTATTATTATTATTATTATTATTATTATTATTAATCATCATCATCATTCATAATCATTATTATTATTATTTTTTATATTATTTTATTATTATTATCATCATCACATCAATCATCATCATCATCAATCATCATCATTTTATTAATTATTATTACAGGTGGACCAGGGCTCTCCTATCCTGTGTCAGAAAAGAAAGTTGTACTTACGAGGACTTTATTCAGGGGGCAGTCAGTGCAAGAAAATTGGTGAAAACTTTCAAGTTACACAGCTGTCCTACTTCACAGACTCAATCTACAACGTAAACATTACTAACAACAGTATTCTGTTCTTGTAGAGTTTGTTGTTATTTCTTAAATATTATTATTTTATATACTTAGTTATACATAGAAAAAAGCATTTATGCCTATTTTTTTTTTAAAATGCGATTTTAGAGATATCAGTGTTTTATCCGAAGACTACACTGATGTGTTTTGTTTTTGACATGACGGGACTGAAAATATTTTTTTTGACATTACTGTTCCATTTGATGTTGGTCTTGATGTTGGAGAGGCAACCAATTTGAAAAAAAAATAGTCAAAACAGAGAAAGAGCATCGTCATATGCGTTATATGGTTGTAAGCGATTTCGTTGTATGTAGAGTTTACTGTATATAGATATATCGTGTTAGATGAATCGCTTGTTACTAAGTTAATAGTTTGTCTTTGTATAATTTAGGCAATGAAGGAATATAAAGACTCTGAAGAAGGAAATGGCGGAAAAGGTGGATCCGGTAAAGGTGGTAACATAGGTAATGGAGGCAAAAATGGAAACGGCAGCGGAAAAAACACAGGCGATGGCGGTAAAAATGGATCAGGGGGCGGAAAGAACACAGGCGATGGCGGTAAAAATGGATCAGGGGGCGGAAAGAACACAGGCGATGGCGGTAAAAATGGATCAGGGGGCGGAAATAACACAGGCGATGGCGGTAAAAATGGATCAGGGGGCGGAAAGAACACAGGCAACAATAATTCTGGAAGTAAAAATGAAACAAATGGAAATGGTAACGGTGAAGGCAACACAACAATTATTGTGATACCGCCATTCGGGGGCAACGGTGGAGGTTCCGTGAATACAGGGGATGATGGTAAATGAAAAGATCAATTAATTAATTAATCAATTAATTAATTAATTAATGAAAAAAGATAAACAGTATGCAATCCTTTTAGACCATAGATTGAATTTCTATATTTCTATACAGAATTTCACGCGCCGGGGTTAAGCAATTATGTCTATATATAATGTGTATATTTTAGATACTACTATATTTGGAATACTAAAATAAATATCTCATTGAGGGTGAACGAACATAATTTCCATCTTTGACAAGATGATGTCCTTTTTTACCTCTGTAACATGATGACTTTTATTTACTTACTTTTCCTCGACTCGCTTAATATTACATTCTCATATTTTCTTTCATGGAGGCAAGACGTCCATTTTGTGTCTCTTTTCAAACGTTAAATAAAAGAAGTGATTTGATTGGTCTTATTCGGATGTTAAAATTATAAAATGTATTTTTTTAACAGATTGCGGCCCACCACCTAGTGTAAAGAAAGGCACTGTTATTTTGGATGACCCAACTAACACACTAGTGGATGCCACTGCGTCTGTGAGATGTAGTGAAGGGTTTAATGCTAAAAGTGACACAATTAAATGTCTACCCAAACAGAAATGGCAAACTCCAAAATGCGTAGAGATCGGTAAGGACAAACATGGCATTCTATTTTTAACTCGACTATTCGAAGATATGGAACATTGAGCTGTTTTACTTGCCGAGGTGCCGGCGTCAAACTTAAGTCTAGTTTTAGCATTGGTATCTATAAAACTAGTGAAGGCCATAGGTTGAAACTTTTACACTTATTTCAGAGCAGAATATGTCACTCTAATGCCCATGGATTGAACATGGCTTTTGAAAGAATTATGGAACCTAGATATTCTAAATAATTCACACTCTAGTTCAACTGTTAAGCTCGGATAATAAGCAAACTCTAAGGTCATTGTCAATGTCACTGTTACTAAAAATAGAAAAAATCTTTTCCGGACAATAAGAATATATAGGAACGAGAAATTGTTATCAAGCTTGGTATACAATAAGCTTGTATGAAGAGCCTACTTGGGTTTGTTTTTTGACCCCCTGGGGTCAAGGTCACTGTTACTACAAATAGAAAAATGGTTTCCTGACAATAATATTAGTTAAGATTGAAATATTATAATCAGACTGGTTATTTAGCAACCATAAGTAACCTTATGTGGAAAACCCCGGTTTGGATTGCAAATGGAACCCCTAGGGTCACTGTTACTAAAATTGGAACTGGTTTTCGGATAAGAGTTAGGATCCAGATATTATTTTTCAAAATTAGTATAAAGTAAGCTTTTATGAAGACCGTTGTTTGGGATTGTAATTAATTGAAATAATTCTTGTACATAGTTCAACTTCATAAATTATAGCTTGAGTTCAAATTTTGCTTAACACCACTTACTTTTCAAAAGGTCAAGGTTGCTGGGGAGTTATTAATCACCTTAGTGTTAGCTCTAGTATTTTTGTAGTAGTCTTTTATCATTTTAAAGCTTAAGTATTTTTCAGTTTTAATGATATATCACTTATGTAAATGAAATGGTAACATTCGGTAAGTTATAAAGTAAGGTGTATCACCCGCATAAATATCACAAAATTGATGAAAAACAGCGTAAAACAACAAACAAACAATATCGAGTCAACAGTCAAATACAAATTGTATCATGCTGATGCTGTTTTACTACAAAGCACACATTCAATGTAAATCATATTGAAGTGGCGGATTTGACTGGTTAATGCTACGAGGAGAGAGGCCAGGGCTATAAGCAGGATGTAGTAAAACCTCAATTCTCTGCTTTGAATCAAGGCTGACCGGTGCGCAGGTGCATTATCATGGAGTAATTTGATCCTGCCACGTTGGCCTTGAAGTGGCCTTAATCACCTTTATTTCAAAACTTTTATTTCAAAGATTGTGGACCGGTACCAGATATGGAAAAGGGGAAGGTAGTTCTGGATGAGTCAAGTATAACGACCATTGGTGCCACGGCTACAGTCGTTTGTGACTCGGGATTTAGGACAAAAAATCCTTCGATCAAATGTTCATCAGATGGTCAATGGGAGATACCTGTCTGCAAGAAAATATGTGAGTTGAGCTAATATTAAATTTGTAAACATTTTACATAATGATGAATTGTCTATTTTTCGTACAAACTAACAACAGATTTTTATATCCAACATCTCAAATTGTTTGCGATTACCTGAATTACTTTTCAATAAAATTGACAAAGAAAACAGAATCCCTAGAGAAAGCCCAAAACGATTAAACGAAAAATGTTGCATGCACGGTTTGATTGGCGTGTTCATGGACGGTACTGGAATGTGCAAGTTAGCGTCCACGCCCCCTAGCACCGGCTTATGCAGAATTCAACATTCAACCAGAAGCAGACCGAATTTTATTTTTTCCGCATAAATAAATTGTGAATTATGATAGAGTAACCGCTATACCCGTATAAATTGTGAATTATGATAGCGTAACCGTTATACCCGTATAAATTGTGAATTATGATAGCGTAACCGTTATACCCGTATAAATTGTGAATAATGATAGATTAACCGTTATACCCGTATATTTAAAAAAAGGTCTGATGCTTTAAACATTTAAGATTGACCAAAAATGATAATAATTATTACCAGTTTGTAATGCTGTGCCTGATGTTGACAACGGACAAGCTGAGTTAGATAATCCACTTGAACGAGGAGTATTTGCCTCGGCTACAGTACAATGTGATTTGGGTTTTGAGAAGAAGAAAGATTTCATACTTTGTCTGAAAACTGGAGATTGGGAGGACGGAGCCTGTTTAAAGATAGGTATGACTTTATCTTACATTAGATATAAAATTACATTACACTATTACACTATATTATGTACATTAAAGGGACATTATGCTCATTTTTTCGATGTCAAAATGAGTATATATGTAGCCTTATTTACGTTTCAAATACACATTTTATAGTATTTACACAGAAAAAACTTGCTGGGACCTTTAAAAACCGACTTTTATGATTACTTTGATATTATACCATTCATTTGCCCGAGTATCCCTTTAAATTAGGAATTGACTTTTACAATGGTGATTGGCCAATAATTGATGATGAAAAACGTTTATGAGACAATGCAGAATATCGACCTTAATTATAACAAGGCTGCTCTACTCTTCATAAAAGATTAAACGTTATTGGTTGACATTTATAGGAATTTCATTGGCGATATTGATATAAAATTGACACTAGTATTGCAAAATATTGAGTTATTTTGATTTTACCTGTCCTCTGACCATTTACATTTGGATGAGCATAATGGCACTTTAAATCCTTAGTAAAAAACATAAGTAATAAGTAAGTGTTTTTTCCTAACAATACAGTAAGTAATACGTTAGTAATTTACGTAAGCGTTTCAAGAAATCTAAGTGACATTATGCTCATTTTTGTTGTCAATTTCAGCTGAATTAGCAAAATTAATGTAGACTTATTATTAAATCCATCAATTCACACACTATATATCCTTTGGTGGGCTTAATGTCACTTAACTGAAATGCCTTTCACCCAGAGGTGATTTCATAATTTACTTATAAAATTGTATTTTTCAATTTTATAAAGATTGTGGCGAGAAACCTGATGTAGAAAACGGCGATGTTGATTTGGATGACCAAAGTAACACGTTTCTGGATGCCACCGCTTCAGTCACATGCAACGTAGGCTACAAATCTAAGTATGGCATTATAAAATGTCTGCCGAACCATCAATGGGAAGTTCCCGAATGTATTGAAAACGGTGAGGAAAATAGGGGAAGGGGCTATATATTTGTCATTTTCAAACTTTGAATAAATTGTTTATTTTATTTTTTTTAATTTTTTTTGTCGTTTTTAGTCAATTATGCTTTTAATAATGATATTACTTTTCCGATCTTCATCAGATATTCTATTTTTCCGATCTTCATCAGATATCCCATTATTTGTACTATCCTCATCAGTTATTCCGTTATTTTTCCGGTCTTCATCTGATATTCCAATATTTTTTTCCTATCTTCAGCAGATATTTCATTATATTTCTTATCTTCATCAGATATTTCTATATTATTTTTTCCGATCTTCGTCAGATATTCCATTATTTTTTCTGTCTTCATCAGATATTCCAAGTATTTCACTTAAAAGTTGGTGATATTCAAATAACTTCTGTTTAAATGTACTTTTTGAAATTTGATTTAACATTGACAAGAAAAGTTATCACACAGGAAAAGAAGTAAACTATCTAAACGTTGAAATTTTGAATATCCTAGTATGTGGCCCTTTACCGGAGATCAAAAACGGCAGCGTGGTACTAGATGATCCAAACAATAATCGCATTGGAGCTACTGCCAAAGTTGATTGTGACAGTGGTTTCATTAAAGAGAAAAGATTCGTAACATGTCAACTGAATGGCGAGTGGGAAACAAGCTCGTGCACTCCAAAAGGTACAGTTATCATACATGTATCAACTTCAATTGCAAATATGTGAAAAGAGAAAATAATTTCATAAATTCACAGCAGCAGTGTATATACTATATAGTTTATAAAAAAGGCCTTGATTATCCAGTGTAAAGCGAGGTTACAAACGTGCAAAACTAATAAGAAACAATAAACATTTTGTTGTGGTCGGGTTTTTGTTTGTTATAAAACTTGACATGATGTCCTGTCACATATCTTATATATTCTGTTGAAGATTGTGGACCGTTACCTGATATGGACAAAGGCACTGTTGCCCTTGATGACGAAAGTAAAACGACATTTGGGGCCACGGCTTCGGTCAAATGTTACTTTGGATTTAGACCTGTAACTTCGCCGATCAAATGTTCGTCCAGTGGCAAATGGGAGGACCCTTACTGCAAGAAAATATGTAAGCGTGATTGATTTCATCATATTAATTGAACTCAATTATTTTCATGTTTAAGGCCTATATTCAAATAATGTAATTTCATACCTCTTTTAGTAACGAAAGAGTTTTGTGACATTGAAACATGTATTAAAAACAGTTATCAATGTTTGTTTGACAGCCTCTATGTGGAGTATAAAAATAATTTATTATACATTGTGTGAAATGTGGGTAAAACATTGAATATTTATCTTTAGCTCGACTGTTATATCTATATTATAGGGAGAGTTATCCTACTCACGTCTACGTCACACTTTTGGTTAATTTTTTCGTACCACCCCACTTAATTCTTATACCCTTTGAAGTATTGCTTTGAAACTTTGTATACTTGTTAGTGAACATCATCCCCACTTCCAGGCAAGAGGACATAGCTTTGTTATAGATTTTGGCAAGAGTATGTCCCTTTTTGTCTTAGAATTCCGGTTAAGTTTTTTATACTACCACACTTATTTCCTATACCTTTTGAGGTATTGCTTTTAAACTTTGCGTTCTTGTAATTGACCATCAACCCCACTGATAAAAGTCAAGCGTGCTGTCTTACGAAGATCTCTTGTTACTAATTCTCATTTGAAAGTTTTCCGTACTTACATGTATTTCAGTAGAGATTGTCTGTTTTGCATGCTTATTGATGTTCGTATATATACATGTAGATCATATAATTCTTACTGAATTAAAATAAAAGTTTGTAGTGAAATACCTCATGTTGAAAACGGGAAAGCTGTACTGGATAATCCTCTTGAACGAGCAATATACGCCTCAGCTACTGTGCTTCACTGTGACATTGGTTACGAAAAGAAAAAAGATTATATCCTATGTCTGTCAAGCGGAGAATGGGACACCGGGGCTTGTGTAAAGAAAGGTATGTGATTAACTAATTACATTGTAATAAAAAAAACTTCATAAACAATTAGGGGGAAGCAATATCTTTGACTTAAGGATTACGTTCGTTTGTTTGTTTGTTTGTTTGTTTCATTTTACGCCTTTTCCCCAACATTATTTTAGTCATATAGGCGAGTAGTTTCCTAAAGCCTCGGTCTCACTTACTCCCGGCAGAGCCCAGGACCATCCCGGTAAGTTACCGGGATGATCCGGGACGATCCGGGATGAAATTATTGTTGCGGTCACACTTACCCCGGCAGCACTACGGTAGTTCCCTACTAACCACCCAGGATGCGCTCCGGATCATCCAGGCAGAGCCCAGGTGAAGCTTCGGTTCATGCCGGTGCCCCGGTCGTTCCCGGATGACGCCGGAAGAGCCCCGGTTGACCCAGGCAGAGCCCCGGTCGATCCAGGCAGAGCCCCGGCAGAGCCCAGGACGATCCAGGCAGAGCCCCGGTTGAACCCCGGTGGATTGAAAACGCCCGAAAATGATAACTTTGATACATAGTTTTTATTTAATATAATATCTATTGTTCCAGAATAGTAATTCATGATGATTTTCTGAAAAATCCTTATGCCATACTGGATAGAAGGGAAATGGGAAGGCTTTTAATACAAACAAGTTCAATCATCACAAATTGTCCTTATTTTTTTGAAATGATCCGGGCTTTGCCGGGGCTCTACCGGGGCTCTACCGGGATCAACCGTAGCTCTACCTTTATCCTCCGGGGCTCTGCCTGTAGTTACCGGGGCTCTGCCGGCATATACCGGGGCTCTACCGTAGCTCTACCAGCTATATTATACCCCGGATCATCCCCGGTTTGTGCAGGCAGAGCTACGGTGCTTTCCCGGTATCACCCCGGTCGTTCCCGGCAGAGCTAAGGATGATGCCGGCAAAGCTATACCTTCCCGGATCATCCCGGACCACCCCGGTGATATTAAATATTTTATTCCATCCGGGGTCGAATGCCAGATGTTCCCGGATCATCCCGGATCATCCAGGACGTTGCCGGCAGAGTTACGGATGTACCCCGGTTGCTCCCGGTCGTTCCAGGATCACCCCGGACGTCTACCGGGGCTCTGCCGGGGCTCTGCCGGGATGTAAGTGAGACTGTAGCTTAACCATCGTTCCTGGAGAATTACACCAGTACTAGACTACCTTCCTCCGCGCTAAACTACCAAAGCATCTCCCCGGAATCGAACCCACGCAAGAGAGGTAACTGAATTAGAAGTCATCGACTCTAACCCCTCGACCACGGAGGTGGACTTAAGGACTACAGGCACTGATGAGCATGTATGGTGGTCACCATTTTGGCATTTCCTAAACTGATATGACGTCACAGCGAAAAAACACCCTCACACGTGACAAAATTTTGCCATTTTGTTTGTCGTTGACATCAAACTTTTTGCCCCTTAACCACTGCGGACTTTAGATTGTTTTATGTGAGCAATCCAGCTAGCTTACAGCACGTCGGGTTCAGGGAAGAGGACATAGCTTTGTTATATATTTCGGCAAAAGTATATCCCTTTTTTGTCTTAGAATTTCAGTCGTCCTTCACCAGTAAAGTTTGAAAGTTGGCAATATGATCTTTACAGTAAATGAAACGTAAAGCCCAACCAAAAATAAAGATAAGCTCAAAGTATAAGTATAAATTATTTAGAGATATCTCTATTTCAAATTACACATTAAATTTCTATCACCTGTATAGCTCATTGTTTTGTATTTTGTTATACAGATATTGTAGTTAACGCCTGTGATTTCGAGTCCGGAGATTCTCCCATGTGTGGGTGGCGAACGGTTCTTGGTTCTGATAACTACATTTGGACACGTCACAGTGGCAAGGCTGATACCCCGTCAACTGGACCCGATTCCGACCACACAACTGGCAAGTGTAAGTGCACATGAACTGTATGATATTAACTTCCGCAAAATCATTATTATTCGCGAAGCACTTATATAAATGGTTTTCGTGGGCTCAATGACTAAGATCCAAGGAAATTTCATTTTGTATCCTCTAAGATAATTCTGAATTACATTTTTTTTTGCATTCTACTTTTTTGCAAGAGTACAACGTTTAATCTGTCATTACAAATATTGCAATATGATCATTTCGATCAATTAATTTGAGAAGTGTTAAAATTAGAATTTCACATTCATAACAGATGACCCTGTTTTTCATGCCAAAAGTGGTAAAGATATCATAATCATATTTGTATAACTGCAAATAGGCGATGTAAATGGTTACTTTTGTTTGTTTTTTTAACCTAAAAACACAATTTGAAAGTATAGCGCCATAGCGCCTATTTATAATAATTCTAATTGTTGCACTTAAATTTTATCTCAACTTACAGACTGGGGCCATTACCTTTACCTAGATGCAAACTCGGGAAAAAATGGTGAGATTGCAAAAGTTCGGCTGGGCCCAATATCTGGAGAAATCAAATACTGTTTTTCGTTTTGGTATCACGTGTATGGTGAAAGTATAAATTATTTGGCCATCACTATAAAGGTTTGTGGAGTGTTTACAATATTACTTTAATATACGTATTGTTTGTTAATATTGACCTGAGACTGATTAATTTTCGGAGGTTTTTCGGTAATTTCCGTATTTAAATATGAAGGGTTTCAAGTCAGTTCGTCAGAATACGATGGTCACTTCTTCGTAATGTTTCGAATATTGTTAACATTTTTGAAGATATTGATAAAATGTTACTGCTTAGCAAAATATTATAGATGTATAAAATCAATACTAGATGGCTACATGTATTTGAAATGTCTTACTAAGTACTTGTCCATTTGTTTTTCAAATATTATAAAAATGGGTAATTTAAGCAGACGATGGAAAACGTAAAAAAGAACGCCTGAAACCGAGTCTTGTCATATAGCGCGAATTTCAACAAGCGGGTGCGATGTTCAGTGAGCAAATCCCTCGCTAAATTCGTGATGTATCGCAGCTGGCTAGAATGAAGGTATATGACGTCATGATTTCTTTATTTGAAATGTTCAAGGATATCATTACCAAGGAACACAGAGAACTTGCTCGTATAGAAGGTGACCAAGGTAACAAATGGCACAAGGTCATGATTCCTATCCAATCCAAACAAGTTCCTAACGAGTTCAGTATTACTGTAGAGGGTAGTCGAGGTAAAGGAGTGACGTCAGATTATGCCATTGATGATTTGATTCTCTCAAAAGGATCATGTGGAGGTAAACAATAAGCATCTTTAAAAAGTGGACTGGTCCGCATTTTCCATGATCATGTCAATTTTACTTCTTCTTTTTGTTATTTTTTAATCTGTTGAACCTCAGTGGAGTCCCTTTAAAGGTGAAATAGATACAGGTACTCGAAGAAACGTTGATTTTATAATGTTGCTAGGTGACTGGTGATACACTCACCTAAATACGAAATTAATTGAATAAGTCTTTCTGAGCGAAAAAAATAAAAGACTAGAAAATAAAGTTACTTTGAATCATTATCATGATTCTTCCCTGACCTTGTCATATTATGCTGTTCGAATATCCTTTATAAGTTGTTCAGTATGTTTAAAGCAAAGTTTAAAAGAAATTGTCCAACTTTTTTTTTCACATAGACATTTTCTATATTAAGCATAACACACATACTTTTCATTGGGAAATTCTGAATATAGAGCGTTACACATATTTTTCCTCAAGAATTTTTCGATATTGAACGTAACACATAGTTTTACTCCAGAAATTCTCGATATGGAGAACGTAACACATACTTTTCATAAAGGAAACCTCGATATGGAGCGTAACACATACTTTTCATAAAGAAAACCTCGATATGGAGCGTTACACATACTTTTCATAAAGAAAACCTCGATAGTGAGAACATAACACTTACTTTTCATAAAGAAAACCTCCATATGAAGAACGTAACACTTGCTTTTCATTAAGAAAACCTCCATATGGAGAACGTAACACTTACTTTTCATAAAGAAACCCTCCATATGGAGAACGTAACACTTACTTTTCATAAAAAAACCTCCATATGAAGAACGTAACACTTACTTTTCATTAAGAAAACCTCCATATGGAGAACGTAACACTTACTTATCATAAAAAACCTCCATACGGAGAACGTAACACTTACTTTTCGTTAAGAAATTCTTGATATGGCGTAAATCCGGTATTTTTCGCGATGTTTTAATTTTCGCTATTATTCGCGAATCGGCCGCGTCGCGAATTCATGATGCCGCGTAAATTTTATAACATAACATACATTATATACATACATTATAAAAAATAAATCTGATGATATTTTTTTTCGAATTGTGATAAAGTGAATACATTTTAATGAAATCAATAACTGAATGCAAATAATTAATATGTGTAATGTTTTATATACATCATAATAAAGATATGAAGGTTAAAGATATTTCCCATTCATTTTTCCTCATGAATACAAGCATGTAAAACACAAAAAGAGACAATATCCGCAAATTGTGCACTTTACAGACAAATGTGAACACATATTGTTTAGATGACAATTGATTTACGGTAAAACAGTGATCAACAGGCAATTTTCATACGGTAGATTAAGTATTATAAACAAGTATATAACACCTTCTTACAAACATTTAACGTTTTATCAAATACGTTATTTGCAAACAAAAAACAAATTTGACAAATGATAAATAAAACGTTCATAAAAAGTCAATTACAATTTTGAATATAAAATAAATAAATAAAAACCGTCTCTTATTAACACCATTACCATTTACCTTGCATAAGAGCGACATAGTATAAGACAACTTCAACCTACCCTGTTATATTAAGGAAATAAAATTTAAATAATCGCGAATATAAATTTCTGACCCTGCCATCGCGAATTCATGAATGCGCGAAATAATCCGGGGGTAGGTTTTTTGCGAAATAAAGATCACGCGAATATAAAGTGATTTACAGTATTTTTTCATTAATAAATTCTGGATATGGAGCATAACACATATGTACTCATTATTTTTAACAGATTGTGAAGATTTACCGAAAGTGGCACGTGGTGACGTAAAGCTTGTTGACCGTTCGGAAACTGAGATTGGAGCTAAAGCCAAAGTCACGTGTGACAAGGGATACGAACCGGAGAAAGCCACTATTCAATGTCTTATTAGCGGTAAATGGGAAAAACCATACTGTTCTCCACCAGGTAAAATAAACATCATGGTATATATAGTTATCGTGTAAGATTATAAATATACATATTATACTTTTAAAAAAAATGCATTCATTTAAAATAAGAAACTTTAACGTTTGCGTCATACACTTGTCAACATAGTTTATCATTTTATAAGGGCTGATCCAGGATTATCCGGAATTTATTTATAATTCTGACAAATTTATGTTTTCTTCATTTAATCAATATATGTTAGCATGTCTGTGCTTAAAATATTATACGCATAAAACGTTTAATTGTTATAATTCTTTTATAGTTGTAAATAGACTGTATTACCCATTAACAAAGTGTTTGTTATTAGCTTATGGCCTTCAGTGTACCCGTTTATATACTATGACATGACGTGAACGCTGAAGATAACCCCGTAGGGAAAGTCCACCAATAATCGTGCCAGGCATCTGACACGCTCGTATTTATTCATCGAACATGCCATGAAGTAAAGTGAAGCATACCTTGATAAAACTATATGTAATCTGTTGATAAGCCAAGGATGGGCAAATAAAAATCTTATTACGAACATAAACTACCTAATAGTTTCCGACAGGTAAAAATGTCGGCACTTGGCCGCCATATCGCCATATGACCTTTATGAACCCATGTGCCTCTTTTACTTTTTTTCAAGATATTGAAAAGGGTGATGTTCTGACTTTTATATTCAATAAAATCATATTTAAGTACTAAAAAATTAATGAAAATAGATAAAAACATTATCTTGAATAAAAAATATCGAAATCATGTCAACAAAAAGACCTGTAAAATGCCACTTTGGGAAGAAATTATACCGTGGTTGTTAAGAGATAGTTGCTGTGCAGAGGGGTCGCTCTGCAGAGGTGAAACTGTATAAGAAAATAGATATGTCATTTTTATTTGAAATTGCGATCTTTGGCGTGTCGCTATAGGGTAATATTAAATCGCTATATTTGTCAGTTCAAGATAGCAGATTTTATCTGTACCTGTTTATGTATATGTAAGTGCTTAAGATATTTTAAGAAATTAAAACCGTTTTTGGCAGATTGTGGTACGGTACCGGACGTGTATTACGGAAGTGTTAAATTAGAAGTTAGAACAGACTCGACACTCGGGGCTGCCGCTGTCGTTAACTGTAACTATGGCTATACGGCCGAGAATGAGAAAATAACTTGCCAAGCCAATGGTAAATGGGAAGCCCCTAGATGTATTAAAGTATGTAAGTATTCACTGAAGTACCTTTATATAAGGCACGCCGTTACTGTCTATTGTTCCCTGCGGTCTGGAGACCGCAGGGTATTGGTACGCTTTTTTTTTTTTTTTTTTTAATGCGTTTATTTAAGGTCGCCGCCGGAAAGCCCATATGGGCGACCGTACACTCAAGTCGGGCCATCCTAGAGCGTTCTGCCGAGATTTTTTCGTCGATTTTTTCCAGCTTTATTGGTGGAGGAAGACCCCAAGTGTCCCTTCGGGCATTATTTCAGGCACGAGCGGGCACCTGGGTAGAACCACCGACCTTCCGTAAGCCAGCTGGATGGCTTCCTCACATGAAAGATTTCGACCCAAGTGAGGATCGAACCTACAGCGGTGAGGGACCTGTGATCTCAAGTCAACGACCTTAACCACTCGGCCACGGAGGCCCCTGTTTTTAGGGTATTGGTACGCGTTTAACTTTTGAGGCATGGAGGAGCACGTGACCTGTTTTCGGTACATGGAGGAGCATGTGATCTGTAAACCGTACACGATTGGTTAATTGACCTTTTCGAAAACCTGGCTAAATACCGTTTGTCGGTACGTTACGGAATAACCTCTAGGGAATTAGTCAGAATTACACCTAATTAAGAACAAAAACTATTACGTGATATTTCTAATTTTCTATAATTATTTTACCGTTTAAGGTGGAAAAACTTGAATGATGTATTTGAAAATTATCATTGTATCTCAAATTTTACAAACAATAAATTGTTTATACTGAAAATCTACAAAATTAAAATATTCGTAGTGGCATCTGCCATAATAAATAGAGATATTTTCTGCGTAAACTTGTGTGTTTACTTTATTTTATTTTTTTGCTTGGAATTATTCATAAAATGGTAGGCTTATTTAATCATTTTCTTAAAAAGAAATAATTGTTTTATGTTCGACCTTCTCCGGTCATCAACGGTCACCAGTTTCCAAAGACCTTCTTCTATTTTGATCGATTATTGTCAACTATATTCCTAATACAAACGTTTATTTATTCCCCTCTCCCAAAACAATGTTGAAAATAGTTAAATGAAATATCTTTATATCATTCCCCGCAGGAAACCATTTTACTTGTAACTAGTTAGCTCGTCTTTTTCGATTATATTATGATAGCTGCGGCGTCGTTGTCGTCGTGTAGCTCATACATTTATTAGCTAACCATGACACGGTGTAGTTGTTGGACAAGGGGCATAATTCTGGAAGTAATATTTTAGAGTTATGCCACTTTATAACTTAGATTTTTTACCAGTAAAAAGTTAGAACTTCATTTTAAACAGTTAAAACTTCATTTTATATAAATGTAGTTAAAACTTCACACGAAAGGTTAAATTAGTAATACAGTATAAGCTTCCTAAAATTCTCATAATTGACCAATATAACTTTTCAACTCGGCGATTTTATTTGGTTCAGATTGCAGCGACAAACCTAAAATAATTGGTGGGCGCGTGCAACTTGATGATGATAATGACGTCAGTGTGGGTGCTACGGCCACAGTCCTTGTCTGTAACCTCGGATACAAACTTAACAAGGACAAAATATCGTGTTTAGGTACCGGGGAATGGGATAACTCCGGTTGTGTTTTGCTAGGTAAAATTTGGTTTCTTTTTCCTACAAGTATATTTTATTCTAGCTATTTGGTTTCTTTTATCAACAAGTATATTTCATCCAAGCTAATAAGTACACGTAACCTCTGACATAGAAAAGAAAATCGTGATTTCGTGTTAACCCTTTATTTCGAAATGATTTCGAGACAAAAAATCAAGATAAAAGAGTTTGTAAATTTGAAGGATATATTTTTCCATATTCTATATATATTATGAATTTATTCTTTACTATTATTATAATTTATAATCACTACAGTAAGTAATTAAACGAGTCACACTTCTGCTGGCGGCTACATAATCTACACATGAGACCCAGTGCAGACCAATAGCAGCCGGCATGCCCGTGCTGTCTTGACATGATCTGCACTGTTTGCTATTCAGTCATAAAATATTTTTAAATTATCCCTAAAATTGATGAATGGTTCAGTCCAGACTGAAAGATGGACAAGTCCATATAAGAAATTAAGCATGGTAAGGATTAAAGATTCCAAATTTTATTTTAAAAAATAAAGTAGAGCTCTACAAGAAAAAAATTAAATAGAAATATATCTCGAATTTTATACAACATGGAGTTTTCTTTTACTACTTTATTTAAAGATAATCTAGTTTTGGCTTGCGATTTTGAATACCACGAAGAGCCGACGTGTAATTGGAGGTCCGAGGGTCTGGAGAGGTACACTTGGACGCGGCATCACAAGGACACGGATACGTGGCATACAGGCCCGGAATCGGACCACACGACAGGACATTGTAAGACATCTAAAAAGATGATAAATTATTTGTTTCGTTGACTGAATCAAACTTTAACTTTTGAAAAACAAAATTGCTCAAATGAGACATTACAACTGGCCTATATAATTATATAATTTTAGAAACGCTTATTTGAATTTGCTTTGTTTTTAACTATGTACGGCAAATTATTGGTTATATCTAATATAATGTATTTATAATAATAATGCTATAGTTTTAAGTTAAATGTCGACGGCTCATACTCTAACTTAAATAACACTGGCTCTTAGTTAAATAACGCTGGTTCTCAGATAAATAACGCCGGTTTTCAGTTAAGTAACGCTGGTTCTGAGTTAAATAACGCTGGATCTCAGTTAAATAACGCTGGTTTTTAGTTATATAACGCTAGTTCTTTGTTAAATTACGCTGTTTTTAGTTAAATAATGCTTGTTTTTAGTTAAATAACGATGGTTCTTAGTTAAATAACGCTGACTCTAAGTTATATTACACTGGTTCTTTCTTTCTTACTTCAATAACGTTTAATTATTCTTAGGTAATTCACGCTGACTAAGTTGAATAAAGCTGGTTCGTAGTTAAATAACGTTCACTTGGTTGTTTGTGATAACAGTGATACAAAACACTGGCTTTAAGTTAAATAACGCTGGTTCTTTGTTTAATAACGCTGGTTTTTAGTTAAAGTAAAATAACGCTGGTTGTATGTCACATGAAACTGACTTTAGTTACACTGTAACTCTGGCGGTAATTTCAATTGAGAAACTTTTATACAGCAATTATAATAGTTTTTGTCAGATTAGACTGCATTTTTCATGAAAATGTGGTAAAATAAAGGGAAAAATAGAGGTTTTTACAACAGCTATATATTAAACATGTATATTGTTATTTTTTTACGTTAAAGATTGGGGACAGTATTTGCTGTTGGAGGCGAACCCACCTGCCAAAAGCGGCGACGTCGCTAAATTCTATATAGACGTTCCCGGGGACCAACATTACTGTCTTCAATTCTGGTACCATATGTATGGATCTAACATTAAATACATGTCAGTATTTATTGAGGTATGTATTTTCTGCAATTAACCCCAATTGTAACTTCTCGGCTCTTATGAGCAGCTTTAATTTGTGAACGACATGATTTGACATTTTCAGATCTTACTCCAGTTGTTTTGCACTTTGTTTCATGTGTTTTTTTTCCACAAAATTTACTAGCATAGATCTACTTTATCAGTAAATCTCAGACTTTTATTTACAGGAATCTACATCAAAGACAGTCACAGAAATAAAACGTATTAAAGGTAACCAAGGCGATAAATGGAAACAGCTCATGTTAGATATCCGTGGCAAACCTATAGACAACGCATTTTCAGTGGGTATACAGTGCGAGAGAGGCTCTGGATTGAAGAGTGACTACGCCATTGATGACGTCATTTTAACAAAGGGGTTATGCAAAGGTACTGCATTTTTACGGCAATAAGATTTTTCTATATGTCGATTTATATTTTTATTTTGGCAATAAGTACAGTTACATTGAATTAGTATTTTGTGTGGGGGTCAGAATACTACTTTATTTACATTTTGTTATCTTCATGATAAAATAGAGAGAAATATAGGATCCTTAAAGAACGCACAAAACGACGAAAGTGAAAATGTTGCAGGTTCGGTTTGATTGAGCCTGTTTATGGACGGTAATGGAAAGTGCAAGTTACCGTCACCGGCTTAAGCAGTTATTTCATATATATCGCTACTTTCTCCACGTAACAAACATCACACATTCTTTAAAACCATTATAAAATTCATGTTTGTCGTTTCCAAAGAAGTAAAAATGTATTTGTTTCTTGAAGCATAATGTACCTTTAAGCTCATTTGTCAAGAATACATACACGCTTATTAGAACAACGTTCGGGTCCCAGTTCATGACCTATCCAGTTCAAGTGTCGTGTTGTAAGAAACACGGTCGTGACCGCAGTAGAACTTAAACCCATTACATGTATCCATAGGTTGTTCAACACGCACACGACAGCCAGTTTGATACCGTACACTACCTAACCGGGCGCTCTTATCGGCGCGCGCGAAACACGTACCGTATTTTTGTCAATAATATTTCACTAAAATTACTCTTTTTTCTGTTGGTTTTTTTTTCAGTGTACAACTTGTTAAACTGAGCCAATGATGGAATGCGTAACTGTGTGATTTAGTTACATTTTTCCTTTTAAAAAGGAGCTGAGGGCAACGTGGAACGTTTTACAGTTTTAACACTTTTTTACTTTGTTTTCCGATATGGCAAAATACACAAATTGTTTAATCTGACCATTTAATCGTTTTATTCTGCATTGTTTAACAATTTAATTGTTTTTAATCTGGTGATGCTTATCAATAATTTGTTTATTTTAGCACAGTTTAACATTAATATTTTTTACTCTGACAAATTTTAACATTGTTATTTTGTTATTGTTTTATACTATTACAGATTAACAATATATTGTTTTATTCAGACATAGTTTAGCATTTTTATTGATTTATTATGACACAGTTTAAAATTGTTATTGATTTATTCTGACACAGTTTAACAATGTTATTGATTAATTCTGATGCAATTAACAATGTTATTGTTTTATTATGACACAGTTTAAAATTGTTATTGATTTATTATGACACAGTTTAAAATTGTTATTGATTTATTCTGACACAGTTTAACAATGTTATTGATTAATTCTGATGCAATTAACAATGTTATTGTTTTATTATGACACAGTTTAAAATTGTTATTGATTTAATCTGGCACAGTATAACAATGTTTTTGATTTATTCTGAAACAAAATAATAATGTTATTGATTAATTCTGACGCAATTAACACTGTTTTTGTTTTTATTATGACACAGTTTAGTATTGTTATTGTTTTATTCTGACACAGTATAGCGTTGTTATTGTTTTTTCTGACACAGTTTAACAAATGAATGGTATTGTTTTATTTTGACACATTTTAAGAATTTTACAGTTTACTGTTTTATTCTGACAAAGATTTATAAAATATTGATTTATTCTTGCACACTTTAACAATTCTACTGACACTGTTAAACAAAAGTATTTGTATTGAACATCCATATATATATATTGACACATTTTTTATTTCGCTGTTTTCGATTTAAGATTTCATTTTTATTCATAAATACTATTCGAACTGTACTAAAGTACTTTGATCCACTATGATGATTTCATTGTCATTTATGCTTTTTTTTATATTGTTTAACCAAAAAAATCTTTCAATTTTCTTAGTCATTACTTTTCATATACGTTAATTTAAAGTGAATTTGTCCATAATGGCAGGTCTTTATAAATAATTATGTTTATGGTATTTAGTATCATACATAATGTCAAACAACAAACCAATTATGTATGGATATTTTTGGTAAGTGCGAGATACATGAGATACGAGATATATGAGTTACGACATATCCGATAATTTATATAGCAGATAATAATTTGTTCCAGAACAAAATATTACAAATTATTATTTAATTGTCCGTACTAAACCACTTAGAGCGTTCTCTAACAAGCATTTTCTAACAAAATATTTTACAAGAATATCCAAAAGATAAATTTCTATTGTGATTTACAAATATTTGAAATACTTATGGAAAATTTGCCAATTGTAGACCAATTCACTTTAATATCAGTTGCTGTGTATTAATGAGGTTTATGTACAAATAGTTAGATATAAAGTAATTGATTAAAAGAACTCCACTGAGGTTTTCTTGACATGATGGGACTGGAAATATTTTTCGAGATTTTTGAGCCATTTGATGTAGGTCTTGACTTGTAACTAGTGCGCAAATTTTCACATCTTTCCCTCACCCTGTTTTTCCAGAAATATCATTTTATTGTGCAAAATGACCCAAAAATGAAGAACAATTACACCGCTTTTCACTTAAATCTGGCAATGAATCGCACAAAAAAATCGTTTTCAATTTAGTTCTGGGCATATTTCATTGTTATATTTTTCTGATTTTTCAATTTTAAGTACCTCGCTTGATCTATGTAAGAATTCCATATTTTATGTTGTTAGTCTTTTGGGCCTCAGTGGAGCTCCCGTTAAAACATTCTGTATCTTTAAAGCAAAATTTTATTGTTGCCAGTGGGAATAAAATAAATAAAATTGAGTAGAGAAATGTCTTCTGTTTTACTTCCGACTTCAATACATATTTCACAACGTTTATATATTAACACACACCACGCTAATATCATAAATGGACTTGTCCATCTTTCAATCTGGGCAACAACATTCATCTTTTTAAGGGGATGTTCTGGCGTTTACGCGTTTACACGTTAACAACATTTAAATCGTGCTCCGCGTGTATTTTTCCGCATGTCCAGCATGCAGGAGTAAGAGCATGCACGAAGAGCATGTAGGAAGAGCACGCAGTATGAGCATGCGGGAAAAGCATGCAGTAAGAGCATGTAGGAGGAGCATGCATCTGCAACGTGTTGTGAGAGTCTGCAACGACAAGTGAACTTAAAATTGAAAACTGATATGTCGGTCTTTAACTGTTCTACTCAAATTGTGATATCCTTTCTGAAAAAAAGTTTGCGAAGTTTTTGTCAATTATCGTTTCATTAATAATAATATTCCGACTCCAGGCCTCGAGGTTATAAAACTATTTCTGAGTTCTATCTCAAATCTCAGGATTTTCATTGGTCAGTGTACATTCTTAGCTGGTTCTTGACCAATCAAATACCTGAGATCTGAGTTAGACCTTGAAAAATTTCTTTATAACCTCCGGGCCAGTAGTACTTGTTTTTGAACCTAGTGGAGATCACTGTCTATAATAAACATGTAAGACAAAAGTGATTGCACACCTCCCAAAAAATAACATTTCATTTTATTCCATTCACAATATTTTCAAATAATTGACGCATTATGTAGATATAATACTTCTAGACCAATGTCAAGTTTAAGCTTCATCATAAATATAAACGATAAATAAGCAGAAATACATTTACATCAAAATCGACGTTATTACCCCAATTTCCGGTGCGCTTTGAGCGAAAGAGCCATCATGCATGACTATAGTTGGAACTGTTAGGGAAAGTTCAAAGTGCAGGGTTTGAATACTGCAAAAAAACAGCAACAACAACATTTGAGACAGTTCATGCTTACCAATCAATTACTCTTTAAGCCATTAAAAACAATGAGAAAGCTTATCATATAAATTAATTTTGACGTCCGTCGCAAAATAGACGCATGACGTCACACGACGCTACAAATATGATTGGACGCGGCATTTATTGTCTGTGACGTAACTAACTTAGCATAGTAACCGCAAAATGTCAACGGCTATGAATACTAGAGACGAATAATTCTGACAAAAATGGAAGAAAATCCGCCAAACGACAGAAAACATTCTGCGAAAAGCACATTTAAAGGTATTTGAATAGATTTCTATATAATTATTTTAAGTTAAATACACGGCGTCATTACTTAATGTGATTTTTTTTAAGAAAAGCAATAAAAATATAGAATGTGGATGTATTTTAGCATTTTGTTCATTTATTTGTACAAAGCCAACGTCAAACTTGTTAATATTTTCTTATTATTAAAGTAAGATATTTATTTTATTCGATGGGTATTTATAGATAGATCTATATTTAACATAAAGTGTTGAGCATGTTATTTTAAATTATGAAACTCACAGTTCTATTCAATAACAGTAACTAAAATAAAAATAAATTTTATGGGCATGTTGCACAGTTCTTTCTATGGATACAAATAATCTTGCTTAAACAATCCTTTTCTTTCCGTATTATACAATAAAATAATGAAAACTACAGTTGTGATTGTTATTTAAAGCGGCCTGCAGCATTTCTTAAGGTTAAATATGTTATGTTTTAATGAATCGTTTCATATCATTGTGGAAAATGATATTTACTGATGGTCGCTTTAATATGTTCTACTAATGTCGAAGACCATGCACATTAACAAAAATCCAGTATATTAAAAAAAATGGGCTTGTAACCTTCATGAAGCAAGTTAACAATTTAACATTGGCTCCATTCAATTAAGGGGAACGGTGGCCTAGTGGTAAAGGTGTTTGCATCTCAACCCAGAGTTCATGGGTTCCAGCCCTACTCGGGTCACGACTATGTTTCTTCATTTGACACCAGTACTGGTTGATTCCAGGAAGCGAACTCGAAAGTGATTAATATAAGTTGCAAGAAGCATTTGTCTCTAACCGTCGATGCAGAAAAGTAGTCGGACACTTGCGGAGAAATTTTTAATTGCTGGATAGTTATTTAGGAAACCAAACACGGAATCATGACCACATTGTGTTGAAGTTGACAAAAAATACGTTTTGAACGTTTAAGTTTTCTTTATCTTTATGTGAAAAAAGCTTTCAATGCACAGTGAAACTTGTAAACAAAGGTCACCTAGGGGAGGGACAATACGTGGTCTTTATAGACAAGTGATCTTTATTTGTTGGTTATTCTATTCTATTTTATAAATGAAGGGTTTCCAAAAAGTGGCATTTTTAGAGAGGTTTCTTCGTTCAGAGGTGGTCTTTAACAGACGGTTTAACTGTATTTTAACCTGCCAAATTGGGTAATTTGGTAAACATGGCATAATGACGCTCGGCTTAGTATAAACCGTCAGAAATGCTGAAGAACAGTTACTGTTGTTTTAGCTTGTTGATTTTATTTCGAGATTTTTTACTTTGTAAAAACTGTAAAAGTGGGATTGTTTCTAGACACATGTGCAATCTTTGCCGGATTGGTATATACTGTTTTCATGTTGTAATATCACGAGTAGATATCTAGCTCGCAAAGTCTTTCTAAGGACGTCTGAATGGTTATTTATATTTTACCTATTATTTCTCACCTAAAAATTGTAACTAATGAACTCCCAGCGTTTCCAACCATGTGATCTCAAAATATAAATAATTATTAAATTTAGCCTCGTATTAATTTCCGTCTTGAGTGAAAATGTTTTGAATCAGTGCGTGTTATACTCCACTTAGACTCGTTTTCATTTTCCGAGTCCAGATAAATCCAGACAGCCATACTTGGCCAATGACTTCAGTATCAAAGGAACTGGGGTACAAAATATTCGCATGTACAACAATTCATTTTAGTGTTTGAAAATAGGATAACAGCATTTCAAATGAATCGTAACATATTTACTTCAGTAAATCGGCTATTAATCAGTCTGTAAACCGATTGTTTATAAAAAAAAAAAATTTTAAATCACTAAATTGGTTACAGAAGTGTTCATTAGATTAAATTTGCCAACAGCGACCAATTATTTTTTTTAAATGGTTACTTATACATCATATTGATTATATATAACGGCTATAGTGGTTCAATTTTTATTATAAGTGGTACTATATATAAGTGTTGACAAGTGATGTGTTAATTATGAATCTGAATGGATTGAATTGGTTCAAGGAAATTCAAGAAATCCAAAGCCAAAGGTGTACCGAAAATAAGTACTTATTACCCGCAGCAAACTATCAACGTCATATTTGATACATATACTGATATGTTTGAAATACATGCACTCGGTTACTTATATTTCATTCAATATAATTCTAAAAAGGACACTTTTTTTCTTGTTACAGATATCCTCATAAATGCCAATAATGATGACGTCATCATCCCTACTAGTTCCACGTTCGACAAAGTTGTATTACATATAGGCATTGGAAGCAGGTCCGGTGTTACCATAGAAAAACCTCCTGTGAAAGATGGTAAAATGTTAATTTCTTCAGTAGAATTTGCAACCCGAAAATTCAAGAAAAGCTTTTACAAAGGAGATAACAATGGTCTAGATGCCACAGAAAAAGAGCGTGGAGACTTCCGGAGAACTGAGTCTGACGAAAAGTTCCGTAAAGACATGCAAAATGAAACAGACGTGGAAAGACTTTTGTCTCGACTTGCCAGCTCCTTTTATAGCGAGGCTCCATTGGAATCTAAAAATGACTCGACTGAAAACATAGATGACGAATTGTCAGACACCGATTCACTAGAGACAGTTGTGCACAGGAAGCCACCTGATCCAATGTCAAATAGTGAAATAATTAACACAGTTATTCATTTAGAACCAGACCAGTTAATGTCAGACCGAGATACTTGCAATGACACTCAAGATACCATTATAGCATCGGATTCTGATGATGCAAGTATGTACACAACAACAGATGATGAGCTGTCATATATCAGCGATACGCTTGATGATGTTTCAGATATTGAATTAGATGATGACATCGCAGACATTAAGGGATTAGATGATGACATTGTAGCCATTAAAGAATTAGATGATGACATCTTAGACATCGAAGCGATAGATCTCCAAGATCAAGATGAAGTTGATACTACAGCAACTAAGAATGACATTGCTGATACATCTACTTACGACAACGAAATGTTTGACGATGATGATAACCAGTTTGGCATCTTGGATGTCTACATAAAGAGTGATCTACACTTTGATCTTAGCAAAGTAAGTTTTACATCATATTAACATAAATACACGTGTGCAAGTCTTTCAAACTTTGTTTCAGAACATAAGTGTGTCACTTAAGAAAGGTTGTTATCTTTTCGTCGTCTATGAACGCACGTTTTATAGTTAGTTTAAATGTTTGAATCACAATATCAAGATAAAATAACAGTTACCTGCTGGACTTTCATTCTTTTGTTTGCATACAAGATGATGGGCCAAGGGTATTATTTCGCATTGCAACTTTTCACCAGTAGAGCAATGACAATTAGAAATCTATTTGTTGTATTAGGACCTTTATTTATTACCGACACGGCTTGTTTGTTTGTTTGTTTCATTTTACGCCTTTTCCCAACAGTAGTTCAGTCATGTAGGCGGGTAGTTTCCTAACCATCGTTCCTGGAGAGTTACACCAGTACTGGACTACCTTCCTCCGCGCTAAACTACCAAAGCATCTCCCGGGGATCGAACCCACGCCAGAGAGGTAACTGGATTAGAAGTCATCGACTCTAACCCCACGACCACGGAGGCGGTTTGGTATCCCATGCCTTTATCAATGGGGGTGGGGGTTAGGGGGGGGGGGTTAATAACGTTTTATTTAGTGAAAATCATGCAAAACTAAGGGAAATCATGCAAATTTATGACCCTCTCGACATTTTGCGACTCCTTCTGTATGTTTAATAATAATAATAATAAACCCTCAAAAGAAATATTTATCAGACATACGTTCTTATATTTTCAGATGCCTGTTGCTGTGAAGCCTGACCAGACAGAAGACTTTGGATATAAATTCTTTTCATTCTCAACTTTCTTTTAATAATACAATAAATATTTGAAAAATTGAATGATAACGCTAAATACCTTTGTTTTTATTGTCACAATATGTTTTTCCCATCGACAAAAATAAATGAGATAATAAGCATGTTACCGAAATGGAGCAATGTCAAAGTCATTTGGAATACCTTGACAATTATTCATTAGTCTTTATCCAAAGACTGAACAACTGCAATTGATCCAACGTTTGACCTGACCAACATCCGAGCTGACCAGTGGAAATTTTTATTTTATTTCATATCTTTCGTCACAATTACACGTAGCATTTGGCACTGTCTTAAATAGACTAACCGCCGTAATACATTAACTTAAAATCAGTGTAAAAAAGACACACTTGCACCCCCACAAAATAAAAAAAATCAAACAAACAAAAAATAAAACAGCTCCTTGAAATTGCAGTGTATGTAATAGAAGCTAAAGTGTGATTTTTTTTTTCAAAACAGCGTAGAATCTATATTAAGTTTTACTGATATATAAAAGATAAATGTATGTACTGGGATTGACAAATAAACAATTTATTCCGACGTTAAGGCGCTTGGAGCTCCAAACCCTAAGTGTCTGTGATATTTCCTTACTAATAAGCACAATATACATATATAATTATATTATGCATATTATATGACATACAGAAAGTGATCGATGTATCTTCAGTTGCGGATTCAGGTCCGGGCTTCGGTTCTGCAACCCCCCACCCCCCTCCCTAAGCTCGGCCAAAAGATACATTTACCAACTAGTCTGGAATATATTTGTGTCAGTTTCATACATTACAATACTGTATGCCGTAGAGTACTCCCTCGTCAAAATGCTTAATGCTGTCATCCAGGAAAAACCTTCCACACCCATCCTGATCACATTTATCTTCAACTAAACGTGCATACACACAAAATATAGGAAAGTACATAGCCACTCATAAGATGAGCTATAAAGACATCTAGATCTATCACAATTTTTGCCGCAATATTTTCTTTTATTTTTGTCAAAATCCTCAACCCACATGTCATGTAGCCGCCATTGATCTTCCTCCAATTTTACACGTCAAGTTGTTTTATTCTAAAAAATATAGATAAATATCAGGAAATTTTTATTGATTACACCTCATAAATCAGCCCCTGTCCATATGAAGTTCATATGGGACATACTCCAACCAACAGTGCTAAGCGTTGAGATATTGTGTGCCATTCTGACCCAGAACAACTAGATAGACAAGGGTATCTGAAGACCCTGGCAGATGGAGCAGAGCTATATTTACTGAATGTTAAGTTTTCTATATAATATCCATAAAAAAACAACAACGAAAAAAAAAATTAAAAGGCTACAGGTTATTCTAATTAAATCTATAGAACTGAGAACTGTTCAGTATAGATGAATATGACCATGCATATAAATTTACACGTGCACTTCGGCGTGCAATCTATAGATATTCTAGCCTAAAACGTGTTGCATGCACGTGCTCTTTGGAAACTGTAAACGCTATTTCGCCTTTTTTTGTACATCTAAATAATTCATATAAAACAGAAATCTAGAGCTATTAACATTAATTATATAAATAGGACTTTGAATTTTTATAATAGATCTCATAATTATGCTTTTCCTACTCGCCCTGTTAAACTTTCATTTTTTTGGCGGGTAATAATTACTCAAACAAAGAAGAAAAAACATAAATTGAAAGTAATTTGATGAAAGCGTTCCATTGACATCTGTTGCAGCTTCAAATGATTTGAACCATGACACTGGCTCTTACTTAGTATCAATCCAGTGAATCAGAAGTCACATGAAACCGGAAACCATCGATTACTCGACCGTGAACCCGTGGCATCCTTGACCTCACCTAATTAGCATAATGACGACAACAACCAAAATGTCGGCTTGAAAGAAGTGATAGGCCGAATTTGTCAGAAGTTTTACCGTTTTTGCAGATTTAGCGGATTGTATTTTGATAATAGACTGTCAGAATGGTTTTCGAGTCACTTGTCACCGATTTGATCAACAAGTATTTGGGAGACTTTGTGGAAAACTTGGATAAATCCCAATTAAAACTTGGAATATGGGGAGGTGCGTATGTAAACTTGGTGGGTGGGGTATGAGAATAAATGCACATGCTAGTCATTTAAAGAAATCATCCTATCAAAGTATAAAATAGGAAAATATACGTTTTTAAATTATCAATGACAATATAACCGTCATACAATAAAATTTTCTAAATTATGCATTTGAACTTATGCATAGAGAATGACACAAGTTAACAGTGAATTGAAAATGAAAGTAGATTTTCAAAAAATACTAGATAACAGAGATAAGCAGCTCATATATACTCCAATGAAATATCATTCATGCCTATCAAAAACTGAAAAATAAGGCATTTTGTAGCAAGTAAAACTTAATGGATTTAGATTTGATTATTATATTTTATAAAATATTGGTAACTTTCCACGCCTTTCACTTGGAAAAACACAGCAGAACATACCCACTGTGCCTGTTATTTTGTCATATGTATAGTTTTGTTACATAAATTAATAAGCAGTTCTCTTTAAAACTTGATTGATCATTTATTAAAATGGGAACTGTAAATTTATGTTTTTACCTGCAGCCATAGACAAATTCATACACGTATGTAAGCTTTCAGAAAATGTATTATTTTACTGATTTTGATATCTGGTTAATAAGTTTTATTTGCTACAAGTTTTAAGTTTAGCAGGCACACGTGATATCTTAACTGGCTAGAAAGTTGCCTATCTCTGTTATCTATGTCATTGAAAAATGTTAACATTAGACAGGGAACTGTAGATTAGGCCACGCTATCTTTAATACAATCATTTGCATGCTCCGTATTTTATGTTATTGAAAGGGTATTATATTTTTTGTCTATAAAAAAAATGTGTCTAAGCGGTAAGGAATATAAATATTTAAGCCAAAAATGGCGTAAGATTTTAGGAAATTGCCAAAATTTTATCATTCCTTTCCTTGTAGTTCTATCTTAAATTCTTAATACAAGGCTGCATGATATGCATTTAAACATATAAACATATGATATTTAATCATATAACTAATGACATGTACATATATATTTTTAAAAATCCAAAATTGTTGCTCTTATTGATTAATCTGCTGTTAGATGCAAAATTTCATTTGATGTATAGAAGGTTGTTTTTTTCCAAATACAAAAGCTGGCCTTGTGAGAGTAATGAATACATTCGCAAATGATGTTTTACTTTTTGACATTAATGACACATACACATAACTAGATGTATAGTATTTATATGGCTATAAAATTTGTATTTTGTTTTTTTGTGCCTAATAAGATTTTTGTTTGATAACAGCTCAGTCTGGCTGAATTGTCTAGACAGAACTCTCAATAGGTTGTGACATTTATGAGTGTGGTCTGTCAAGGTTAATGTGTGTGGACTGTCAAGGTTATATGGGTGTGGTCTCTCTATGTTATATGGATGTGGTCTTTCTAGGTTATATGGATGTGGTCTGTATAGGTTATATGGATGTGGTCTGTCTAGGTTAATATGTGTGGTCTGTCAATGTTACATGGGTGTGGTCTGTCAAGGTTATATGGATGTGGTCTCTCTATGTTATATGGATGTGGTCTCTCTAGGTTATATGGATGTGGTCTGTCAAGGTTACATGGGTGTTGTCTGTCTAGGTGATATGGTAGTGGTCTGTCTAGGTTATATGGGTGTGGTCTCTCTAGGTTATATGGTAGTGGTCTGTCAAGGTTATATAGGTGTGGTCTATCTAGGTTATATGGGTGTGGTCTATCTAGGTTATATGGTAGTGATCTATCTAGGTTATATGGGTGTGGTCTGTCTAGGTTATATGGGTGTGGTCTTTCTATGCATGTATTTTACATAGTAAGTCTGTTACTTAAGGGACTATATCATAAAATATTCCAGGAAAGAGCATTACTGTTTGTAGTTTTCTTATCACATTCCATCAGGGGATAATTACTATTTTGTATTGCATATTATGTTTCTGTCATGCATATTATACAATGTCAATATATTTGTAGAATTAAAAACATAAAAAGAGTTGAAAGCTGCAGGAAAGTGGTTTTAAAAACTCTCCTTTACATGTGTCTTATGTGAGGCATTCAACATATTGACATATTTTGTCCTACATTTTCTTTCATTTCTTAAGAACCAGGATGTTAATTAATGTTTGCATTCTATTATAATTATGATAATACAGACAATCTGTTGTAGATGAAATTGTGACATAGAATTGATAGCTGATAGAATTATCACAAACCATTTCATAATAAAAGTGTCCCAAATAGATATTATTTAACATCAGAATTATGAATTTTGTAAAGAAAATGACTGTACAAACATGGAATTGTTATTAACAGTCCAGACACTTTTAAATTTACTACCAAGCACAGATAATAGTCGAGCATGCTGTCCTACCAACAGTTCTTGGTAGAATAAAAATTAAATTAAAATCTTTAAAGTTTAACATTGTTATGATTTTAATAAAGTAAATTTTTCTCTGTTTTGTTGTGAGTTACATGCCAGAAATTATAATTTAGTTTATTATTAAGTTTCCTTGTACACAAGACACATTCTTTGGTATAATTAATTTAGAATGGATTTTATCCGGAACACAGCCAATGCGTGTTTTGCAGAATTTATTCCACGGTACAATGTACAAACAAGCTCTTACCATGCAGTGGATGCATTGGTAGAAAAAGTTGCCTCAAACAGACTAAGGGTTAAAAATAGCCTCATTTACAGTCATCGAATTTAGCACTGGCCCAGTGACCCATGGCCAACGAAAATTAGTTCGGGCCAGTGAAAATTTTAAGAAAATTTAGTTGAATATATAGTAGAATAAATTCCAAATTGGAATTCAGGCTAGTAAATTCAAAATCTTAAATTCTTTGATTGCATTTTTGTTATAAAATAGGGAGATTTAGGTCATATGGGGAAGAAGTGTCTTAAAGGGGGCATCAATTAATGGTTTATGGATCTCTGATTTGCTTAATTTGACAGCTGTAATATTAATAATATCTGTCATATGTTGCGGTTCGGATCAGAATATCAGTCCCGAGGTGACCCGCCCATTGGGCGGGTGACCGAGGGGCAGATATTCCGATCCGAACCGCATACATAAAATATGTCAGATATTTTTTCTTGCATATTCTACCATATTCCATTATATTTTAAATTCTTTATCTTTATTTTCAATGGAAATTTATATCATGACTACCGTAACTACTTTCTTACAACAGCGTATGAAATTGCAACTTCATTCATAACGGTAAAATGACGTCTTCCTAAGCGTGGCATTGTACAGCACGCAACTCATCTGGCACCCCCCATGCCAAATGAAATTTCCGGCATGGGTAAAACTAACGGAAACGCCAGTCTACTATGCAAGAAAAAGTTTGTTTAGAATTTATTTAAGTTTGATTGTGTACATGTAGGAAGCTATTAGCTTACAATCATACCTATCAAATTTGTTTTTTTAACCAACCGCTACTGAGCAATGGGTGTAATGTTTCTTGCTTAAGGAATAACAGTTCGCCTCTAATTGGGTTAAAAAGAACCCTTGCGACAAGCAATCCTTAGATTACTAGTCCGATGCATTAACCACTCCGCCATGCTGCACTAATATTAAAAATGTGCTATTGGTCCAATATTGCCACAGAGATTTCCGAACTCAAAGTTTTAGGAATTGAACTTTCAGCACTTATATAGGGTAAAACTTTTTTTTTAAACATCAGTTATTTGTATACGAAGGAGACTGTGTCATTTATACGCATGATATGCATTATGGACAACCTGATATTTATATAAGTAAAAACATGGTAAAATGTAAAATTGATATTTCATGTGCTTTTTTCTGTACCTCTTTATGTTTTATTAGGAATTGTAATCTGTATTTTTATGTTTACAAGTTTTATTAAAGTCTCTAATAAATAAACCTGGCTGTTTTCATTTTATTTATAGGTGATGTTGTTTTGAATGAACTAGATTTGAAGGAAAGTGCATTGGTGAGTATATATATAATTATATACAATAAGTAAATAGAACTTGGTGAGGGTTATACACATAATTAGTAATATATATAAGTATACAAAACTTGTTAAGTATGGCATTATGATTATAGTCTTTGTTTTTGTTGGTATTTATTCAAATATTTTAGTGTTACAATCATTTATAATATTTCTGGTTAGTAAAAAAGCATATTTTGCTAATTTACCATGCAGTTATAAAACCTTATAAATTGAGCTGAATATTGTGCAGATTTCGTCTGCCAGTAATAAAAGTGAAAGAAAGTAGATTTTAGTTCAAGGTTGATATCTGTTCAATGTAAATTAATATCTACCCCCGCTAAATTTGCAAAATGGACTTGTCTAGCTTTGATTTGGGAAGTGTCCATTATAAGATAAAGGGATTTCTGTATAGAATACTTATATTTAGCAGGTGACAAGATTATAAAGTCTGGCCAGACGTCAGATGGCAATAATGTGCCACCTTACCTAACTTTATACTGTTTATTGCCAGTGATTTTCCTACTTATATAACAGACTCCGAAAAAAGGCCTCTTCCCAATTGAAATTTTCTTTAAAATCATGCAGTTTTTCCAAAATCTTAACTTAAACCAGCTGTTTTACTTCCCAAGTCAGCAAATTTAGCGATAATTTTTCCCAAAATCAAGAGGCTAAGGCCTCTCAGGTATATATATTAACGTACCTGGGCCTCTTCCCAAAAACGTGAGAAAAATCACTGATTGCTTCTATTTTAAGTCAATATAGGGTTACTGTTTAACTCCCATAAACTTGCTGGCAGCGACTGACTACCAAGACTATTCAACCAGTGCAGACCAAAATCAGCTGGCAAGTTTGTGCCTTCATGGTCTTCACCATTTCTTTGAAATTTTTTTAAAAGTTATGAATGGTCAAGTCCAGATTGAAATATTAACAAGTCCATTTAAGATATATAATTTAAAATCAAAATAATTTAAAAACAAAATAAATTTTTTCCTTGATTAAATTTTGGCACTGGAATATGGATTAATGACCAATAGCAATTAAGTTGTAAGGCCATGAATAGAGTAGAGTTGAGTCGAGTCAACCTTAAATTTAGCACTTAGATAATCAAAAAAGAATTACAAATTCAAACAGGGTCATAAGGCAAATATCTATATTTGTGATATGTAAATCAAAACATTTTTTTCCCCGCTGTTGTCAAATCATTAATTTTGTCTAGGATGTTGTGGTTAAGCTATTGTGTGAACAGTGGATTGTGATGTCGTATATTATTAATATTGTCATTTGAAAAACCCCTCCCTTATGCGTGTTTGCTAATTACACATGTGCAAAACATTTTGAGGTCATATTTTATTGTTTATTATTGTAATCACCTGGGCGTAGGTGTTGCCGACACTCTTTGGTGCAAGTTGGTATCTCAAATTCTACTTAAGGGATTGAATTTGAATGGTTAGAAACTTCACACACTTGTTCTTAGTGATAACCATACATGATGGACACAGGAACTGTAACTCTGAGTTTCCTCTATACAGAGTAATGCCCTTTTTCTTACTGTCAAGCACTGAGAATAGTCAAGCTCAGTGTCTTACTGACAGTTCTTGTCCTTCCAACAGCTCTAGTTACAATTGAAAGAATATTGTAATCTTAATGAAAAGTTCTCTAGTCAAGTTAAGCATCAATATTTACAGTTATTTATGCAGAATATTCCAATAATGGTTGGTTAAAACTATATGTATTATTCATAGAGATATGTAGTTAATTACATATACAGTATAATTATAATGTATATAGAAGCATTATTCAATTTGAAATATTAACACGTCAGATTGCCACATGAACAGTTTTCATTCTTGAGATCAAATAAATATTGAACAGACCTCTAAGATCAATAGAGATCAATATTTGAATGTCCTGTGAGATCAATATTCTACTGACCTTTGAGATTGTTTAATGTATTTAACATACATGTCCTTTGAGATCATGTATTTTACTTTCCTATGAAATAAATATTTGACTATCCTCTGACATCAATATTTGACTGTCCTATGAGATCAGTATTTGACTGTTCTATGAAATCAATATTTGACTATCCCCTGACATCAATATTTGACTGTCCTCTGATATCAATATTTGACTATCCTATGAGATCAGTTTTTGACTGACCTATGAGATCAGTATTTGACTGACCTATGAGATCAGTATTTGACTGCCCTATGAGATCAGTATTTGACTGTTCTATGAGATCAGTATTTGACTGTTCTATGAAATCAATATTTGACTGTCCTCTGATATCAATATTTGACTATCCTATGAGATCAGTTTTTGACTATCCTATGAGATCAGTATTTGACTGACCTATGAGATCAGTATTTGACTGACCTATGAGATCAGTATTTGACTGACCTATGAGATCAGTATTTGACTGCCCTATGAGATCAGTATTTGACTGACCTATGAGATCAGTATTTGACTGTTCTATGAAATCAATATTTGACTTAGACTATCCTCTGAAATCAATATTTGCTTGTCCTTTGAGATCAATATTTGAGTGTCTTTTGAAAACACTAGCATTTGAGATTCATTTCTGTCATGTGCCTTTTAAGATCAAAATGTTTGTTTAGCCTTTGAGATCAAATTGATTTGTCTAGCCTTTGAGATCATTAATTGTCTAGTTTTTGAGATAATTGTTTACTTCCTTATAGAACTTGTATCAATTTTATTTCAGGATGACCTTGATCTTCCAGTAAAGATCAAAGCTGGCCATATAGGTAAGTTGACTTTTTACATTTGAATATACAGATTTTTGCCTTCTTGTTTGGAGGATATGGGAAAATTCACAAGATGTCACCTGAGTGCAGAAATAGGTTAAGTCCTACTAAATTTAATAGATGTTACTATTATGTTAAACTGTTACTGTACTAAACTGACGATGAAGAGAGTACAGGTATTTGGGTACTTACTATCCCCTTACATCAAAGATCTTTATGTGAGACCTTCTTACTTCTAATATACATTTGTACTTCAATACTAAAAAAAATTAATTTAAAAAATTGGATATTTGGATACTTGGAATTTGCTTTGATGTCTCAGATAAGATATTTTAGTTACTGTACCATTGCATGTATATATTGGAGACATAAAAATCTCTCGACAGAAAAGTCCATTCTATTATACAAATAATAGCATGGTAAACTTTTAGTTTTATGTCATATTTTCCTACGATCAGGTTTACAGGCCTCAACACTGTTCTTTTTTAGCTGTTTTGAGCAATTAGTCAGTCGGATCCCATGGATTTTAAAGATAGGTGGTCTTTCTGGAAGGTGGTCCTTGTGGAAGACAAGTGGTCCTTCATGCTTTGTTTACTTTTTTATCTGATTTAAAACAAAATATAATACTTGAAATGGCTGAATTTAGGAAAAAGTTGTCTGGCATGATACCAGTGAAAATACAGAAAATATGCTTCACTGCAGTGAAAAATAATTTTTTACTGTGAAAATACAGACAGTTGAAATACACATTTTATTTCATCAATATTTCTCAATATTTCATTTGTAAGTATATTATAATGGTTGATATAATGTTAATTATGATAAGTTATTAATCATCAATTTGTACAATTTTCAAGTGGTGCTAAACTTTAAACATTATAACTTAGAATCTTAATGTTTCAAGTGATAGACCATTAAATAAAGCTAAATTAATGATATGGGTGTTTAAAGGAAAAATGAAACACTTAAGAAATGAACAAGTATCTTTGATGCATATACTTGTTGAAGGGTCTGGATTGTTACTTAATATAGACTTTGCTCAGTTGCTCGTGCTGTTGAGACATGTTCTTATGTCAAGGTCGTGCGATGTTATACGTAAGCTAGTAGTATAAGAAATTACAAATTGTAACTTGACTAAAGATTATCAGGGGAATCAAACTGATCTAGTAGCCAGTTATTTCAGGCACATTCCGGCACAAACAGACACCCGGTGGCAGTTTGTGCCTGAAATAATGTACAGAGGGGCACCTGAGATCTTCCTCCACCGTAAAAGATCTTCTCAGGTGCCCTTATATGCCTGAAATAATGCATGGAAGGGAACATGAGATATTCCTCAACCAGTCATATGACATATACTACAGTGTTGGGTTCGGAAATCTGCAAGGCCATCCCAGCTTAATTTGAGCAATATCTTTGACAGTTTCCTTTCTCGCTGTTTAAATAACTTTTTATCATCTTACTAATCTATAAATGACCCCCTAATTCTTTCAAACAATTAATTGAAAACGCAAGCTAATTATGCAAATAGGGATGCTCTGAGAAAAGAATTTGTTACTTTTTTAATTGATGTATGAAAAATTTAATTTGCTGTTATAATTTTACTTTATAATTTTACATACACTTTAGTTTGTCTAGATGTATGGAATGCATATAAAAATTTGTAACACTAATATCTGGTTTCAAAATCACATGTATACTCTACATATTTGGTAAAAAAGTACATTTTATATTAAAATGGGTCACACATTCAACCCTGTCATTACTAAATTTGTATAATGGATTCATCCAGCTTTGAGTTTGGAACTGTCCATTATTGATATTAGGGGATTTTGATCCGTAAATGACAAAATTTAATCCATATCCTGCTTAACTTATGTAGTACACTTGCCCGTGAATTTGAATTTGGAATGGTTCATTCTGAAATGAAGGGATTTCAATTACAAGCTACCAGTAGGCAATATAGATCCTAGTGGTACTTAATTGATGTGTAGACTGGCCTGGCTCTATACTGGGCGGCAAAGGTTAAAAGGTGACAATAGTTAAGAGACTTGTCTGATTGGTTGGATGCGTTAACCTGGGTTTCATACTGGTTCTGTGCCAGGCTTCTTTTCCACAGGTAGGGGGAAAGGACAATCCCTTTTAATTCAGAGAAAAATAAAACAGCAAAAGGGGAAGAACAGTTTTGTATTTAAATTAGATTTTATTGAAATCTGTATGACTTTAAAGAATTATTTAATTTCTTCAAGAGAGAGGCAGGGGAGGGGGTGAGAGCTACACGTTGATATATTAAATTTTGTTAACAGACCCTAAAAGATTAGAAGAGGGGAAAAATGTGGTTTAAGAGGAAAATCATTTTAATCTCGGCTTGCATTGCAAAGGAAAAAGTGGAAATGCAGTGTATAGTTTTGTTACAAGTGGTTTAAGGTATTGATATATTTTAATGCAGACATTGCAGATCTCAGATAAATTGATTTGATGGTCAACAGTGCAGAAATGTTTTGATGTCTAATTGTAGGCTTGGGACTCATTATACCAGAAATATACATTACTGCATTCGATATATATTAAATGCACTTTAAAAAAAAAAGTGTGAAGAATTGCTGAGTCAGCAATACGCATTTTTGTCTTATAGTAGTCTTGCTCTTGTTAGCTTAATTTTGGGCTAGGTCATATTTAATGGACTTTAAAAAATGGGAAAAATTGCTGAGTTTGCAATAAACACATATTATATAACAGTTTGGGCTCGACTTTGCTTCTTCATGATTGCTAAATTTTTTGAACTCGAATATTGCAATCTGCTCCTTACATTGAAAAATGTTTTAGCTTAAAGGCCCATTATGCCTCAGAAATACTTTTATTTTTATTTTTCAAAAGCTGTTTATTTTGTGTGTGTCCTGTTAAAATTTCCAAAAAGTTGCTCATTATCATCTTTTGCTGCATTTTGTTAATTAATACAAATGTTTAATATATTGACTAGATGACAAAATACTACTTTGTTTACATTTTGCTGCTTTTATGACCTATAATTTTACATCCAGGGCTACTTTCTTCCAGTGATAAGCAATTTATAACATGCTCTAAGACCATTTAATTAAGGCTATAAAATTAATATTTACCCTTTCTTATGACTGAAATATTTATAATGCCTTTAAATCAGGGCAACCCTATATATTTTACAAATGGCTAGCAGCCTAGCAGTAAGAATGTTAAAGTTTAATTGATATAATCTTTAAAGATGGAAAATGTCAAGTGTATTAGTCTGTATATAGATGGAGAGTGACTAAACATTCATGTGATGTAAATAAATAATAACAAATGACAAATATAACATGTGATGTACTTAAAAGTATCGGATTTGGGTTACATTTTTTATAAGTTGTTAAAGTGAACTACTTATGCCATTACTTGGTTTTAACTATTATTTTACTTAATTATAAAAGTAAATCATACATACAAGTTTTCAGGCATTTTAATGCCTTGAAGTTCAGGTTTTTTTTTCTACTAGCTCTCTTTCTATATAAAAGTAATTGAAATCGGTTTTAGGTTTAGTGTATATAGTTTATTTAAACGTAATGGTAATCCAATGAAAAGACATGTTACAAAACATGCTGTAATATAAAATAGTCATATACATGCATATTCAATACTATAGCCTAGATTTTATATTGTAAATGATAAAATAAATAAAAAAAGTAGCAAATGGTATAGATATTGCCTTAAAACTTCCCTATAGAGATAATTTAAAGTGTAGTCTATACACATGTATAGGCTATCTACATAGACACAGCATGATGATTAAAGATAATAATATGAAAAAAAGATTAAATAAGAAAAAAAACTTTTCTTTTGCGATATTGCCTCAGAACTTCCATGTAAACCTTATTTAAGGACAGTTTTGTATGGATATTGAAAGTTGCTTATGCATGCATTTACTATTTATATATATATATCAGCAAGGAAAGTAACAAACATATATTATAACAGGTATATATTGAATATAGCATAGGTTACATATAACAGTAACATGTGTGGGGGAGGAATATACTGGAGTTAGTCATAACCTCAGTAATACATAAAACAATATGTTAAATTAATATGTAGCTCAAAAACACACTGTATTATGTTACATGCATAGTACATTGTAGAAAATATGTATATAAAATAAGGAAATTAAATTGGAAATTATGAATGCATGTAAAAATTACATTTTTGAGACAATAAAATATTGAAATGTTAAATTATCTTTGGTATGCAGTGAAATATTCTAGGTCGATAATATAGGATTTTTTTTCACACCAAAGTAGATGGGGTTTATTTCCCAGAACATGCAGTGCAAAGACTAAGGTTGGGTACAGATATTTATGAGGAATTTTCGTATTTCTTACTATCTCACTTCCCATAGGGCTATTTCTCATGCTGGGGGAGCAGGTGGAGTGGGGAGCAGGTGGGGAAGGGAGAGGGGAGCAGGTGGAGGAGGGAGTGGAGTGGGGAGCAGGTGGGAGAGGGTACAAGTGATGTGGGGAGCAGGTGGGGAAGAATATGGAATGGGAAGCAGGTGGGGAAAGGGGAGGGAGTGGAGTGGAGAGCAGGTGGAAGAGGGAGTGGGGAGCAGGTGGGGAAAGGAGAGGGGAGCAGGTGGAGGAGGGAGTGGAGTGGGGAGCAGGTGGAGAGGGTACAAGTGGAGTGGGGAGCAGGTGGGGAAGAAAATGGAGTGGGAAGCAGGTGGGGAAAGGGGAGGGAGTGGAGTGGGGAGCAGGTTGGGAAGGGGAGGGAGTGGAGTGGGAAGCAGATAGAAGAGGGAGGGACTGGAGTGGGGAGCAGGTGGGGAAGGGAGAGGGATTGGAGTATGGGGAACAGGTGGGGAAGGGGGAGAGAGTGGAGTGGGAAGCAGGTGGGGAAGGGGAGGGAGTGGAGTGGGAAGCAGGTGGAAAAGGGAGGGAGTGGAGTGGGGAGCAGGTGGGGGAGGGGGAGGGGGAGGGATTGGAGTGGGGAGCAGGTGG